ACCACAGTGTATTCAGGGCCAAGTACCAGGCTTTCCCCCCAGAACCTACATCCTGAGGAATTCTTTGGTGCAGAGTGTAGAGATGGGGTTTCCATAAGGACTCATATCGCTACACCCCTGTTTGCTATTGGCACCCCATAGGGCTGCTCTTCTGTCCATGGCTGGTCCTTCTGGCTAAGCTCCTCGGTCCACATGTGATGAGGGGTCCATCATCCTTGGATGCCAGTGAGTTCTAGGATGAATTTTGGCTCTCTGTGACCATACATGGACAAAGAAGTCCAGAGATTTGTCATCTGGGGCCAGAAACAATACACAGAGAGCTTCAATACTCAGTATAAAGTTTCAAAGAGAGCTAAGCGAGATTGTTGATAGCCGTGCAAGCATTTACCATTGCCTTACTGGGGTCATAAAAGGCACCTTACACCAGCTGATGTGAATCTGACAGTGTTGTCTTAGGTGTTTTAGCTTTGAAAAATGTTCAGCTAGCGTTGAAAGAGACACTCTAAAATACTGTATGCGGGCGGCTGAGATGGCTCAGAAGCCTGATGACCTGAGGTTTGCTCCCTAGGACCCACATGATAGAGAACCAACTCCCCTGACCTCCACACATGTGCTGTGGCATGTGGAAGCGTGTCACAGATGCAATAAATAGATGTAAATATTTAAAAACCAAAGGTGTGTTTGTGTGAGTGTGTGTGTGTGTGAGTGTGTGTGTGTGTGTTTGTGTGAGTGTGAGTGTGTGAGTGTGTGTGTGTGTGAGTGTGTGTGTGTGTGTGTGTTTGTGTGAGTGTGTGTGTGTGTGTGTTTGTGTGTGTGTGTGGCCAATATTAATTATTTTTTTCTAGAGACAGTCTTAAATGCATTTTTATTGGAATCACAGTCCCCAAGAAACTCCTTCATTCTGATTTGCGATACTCTGGACAGAATGCAACATTCATAAAATGAAAAGATCGCCCAGCTCAGAAACCTGCTGCACAGGTTAGATTAATTGAATGTTCAAGGCCTTCTCGAGGGAGAGGAAAACCACATGGCCACTTCCACTTATTCACTGTAGCTGTGTGGCTGTGTGGTTATTTACTTTCTAGCTCCAGGAACAGCACTGCACTGGACCAGGCTGTGTAGCTTGCAAAGCAGGAGGCTTTGACTGTCTGGCCTTAGCAGAGTCTGCCAGTGCCTGAGCTGTCTCGCACCAATCACAGCGGCTGAAGGCCTACATGAACCGCAACATGATTTGGGGCTCCAGCGCAGGATTCTCTTCCTTGAAGGTAACTTTATTCCTCACATAATAAATGACTTGTAGACTTGCCTTGACTTGCTCACAGAGCAGGGGATAGTTAACAGGGCACCTAAGTTAAAACCCAAATACAGTGATTCACTATAAACACTAAGTATCACTGACTGGATGCGTGACTTTGGGCCGGTTAAGTGCCCACTCTGTGGCCCTCACTCCTCATATGTAAGATATGGTTTACAATCTCGTTTTTGTTTTTTTAGAGATTTTATTTATTTATTTATTTATTTATTTATTTATTTATACCTTATTCTGCCTACATGCTTGCCTGCAGGCCAGAAGAGGGTACCAGATCTCATTACAGATGGTTGTAAGCCACCATGTGATTGGTGGGAATTGAACTCAGGACCTTTAGACTAGCAGGCGGTGCTCTTAACCACTGAGACACTCCAGCCTCTACAGTCTAGTTTTTAACGTTAAATAAGAAACTGTTGCCAGGCAGTGGTGGCACGTGCCTTTAATTCCAGCACTCAGGAGGCAGAAGCAGGTGGGTCTCTGTGAATTCAAGGCCAGTTTGGTCTACACAGCGAATTCCAGGACAGCCAGGGCTACACAGAGAAATCCTGTCTCAAAAAAAAAAAAAATCAAAAAAGAGAGAAAAAGATTGTTGAGACACTTGTACATGGAATAGACTCCTCACGAACATGGATTCCCTCCCTGGCTCCTACCTTTCAGTAAAATGGAGTTCCTGAACTGTTGGCATTTCAGAAGAGACTGAGCCAGTCCTTACAGACTAAGACTCTGGGCTTAGACTTTGGGACATAGATGGCTTCCCTGCTCAGTGACAATGACGAAGCTGATATTGCTGTCACTCAGAGGAAGAAAGAGGACTTTTTCCCCCAGTGTGTTTCTCTCCTTTCCTGACTCCGACTTCTCAAGATGTTCTTGCCTAGAGGATTTCACCTCACAAGCTCTGCTCCTTGACTCCCAGCCTGCCTTGCTCCAATTCTCTCTTACTTCCCCTATTTCAGAGCCATGGCTGCTTAAGGAAGCCCAGTTTCTCTGACCCCTGCCTTCTCCATCATGTTTAACTAAGGGACCCCTTGATCCAGGAGAGCCACAGGCCAGTGAGAAGGAGTGGTAGGTGAAGGGGAGGTTGCTTTCAAAAAACTTCCTAGGTGAGGGAAATTACTTTGCAGGGCAGGCACAGACTTAACATTGCACCACAGAAATTGAAAACCAGCCTAGTCTGCTAGAGCAAAGACTGAGTTTGCACAGAACTCCTTCGTGGACTCAATCCCAGGGCTTGTCCTCCTGCTGTCAGTTAAACACAGCACAGCTTACATCCTTCTGATCAGATCATAGGTCTTAGCCAGTTAAATTCAGACACAAAGGAGGGTAGCTCATTCTCTCTGTAGCTAAAAGTCACCACAGAATGGAACTCTAAATCCATATATAATCCATTTTTAAACAGCTCTAGTTCTTTTTTTACTTGTTCTTCCATGGTGGACAGTATTCAAAGCCAGTCCCAGAGTATATATTCTAATTTTAAATACTGTTGGATTCACATTCAAATATAGTTAGTAATTCAACCTTTCTTTAATAATACTGTCAATTAAAACCCTACTGGATTAGCTTCAGCACAGAATAAGAAGCGGTTGAAACCAACCCCTGCTCACTGGCTGGCAATGGTCTGCTACTATTGGCCTTGAGCAGCCTCTGGAGTTGGACAAACTCTTTTAAAATCATGGGGGTTTGCTCACTTGTGTAGCAAGCTTTGTTTTGATGGCCTTGCTCGGGTGCAGCGGAGATTTCAGAATGGACTGAGTCTCAGTGAAAGCAGAATTACTACAAAGAACCAGGAGGAGAGTTGGGGGGGGCGGGGCCTAGAACCCTGCTGCCCTGACACTGACCAGGGATTTCCTCAGAGAAGCAAGGCTCCAGGACACATCCTGTCCCGGGAGGTTCCCGCTTCCTAGGCTTAAACTATGCAGCAAGGAGTCACCCTCTCTCTAAGCCTGTGGCTTTAGAGCAGCAGCCTGGCAGGAAATTGTGGCGATTAGGGGGTCAGAGGGCTGCATCTCTCCAGTTCTGACCCCAGTGGGCCATGTGACCCAAGGCAGCATTTCCCCCTTCTCTGTGCCCTGAGTAAACAAACAGTAAACGGTCGACCAGTTCAGACGAATAACCAGTGCTGAGTCTTGCCAGAATTGAACTCATTTGGACTCAGACATCATAAAAGTTGGAGCTGGACAGAGCCCTTTGGTGATGAACTGGACTGTCATTTCCCCTGGAGACTGGGGAAGACTGAGAAGAGGCTTGTCCAAGTCACACCATTAATTAAAAAGGAGCATCAGTTAGAACTCAGGGGATCTGATTCTTCTTTCCATGATCTGACTAGAACACTGTGCAAGTTCAAAAATTCTAAAGGAAGCAGTTTAATCTCTTGCCTCCTGTTGCTGAGGCTGGTAGACATCCTGCCCACTCATCAAAACTGCTTGGGATTAAGTAGCTAAATCCTATGCTCTTTGCACGCAAAATTCTGCTCCCACCAACAGCTTCTCTGTGACCAGGGAGACAGCCTGTGAGCCAATCTGTACCCAAACTCACCCTCCAGGAATAGGAAAGAAAGAGGTCCCACTTGGGATTTGTTTTCAGAGATGACCTCCCCAATATGATGTTGTCTTTCAAGTCACTGAATTATCCAATGAATTTAAGCAGGAAAGTCCCTCACACGGGCAGAAAAGCTGTAGGGTCAGCACGTCCGGTATCAGGATGCTAGTAGACACAGGGCATGTCTGGTATCAGGACTCTAGTAGACACAGGGCATGTCTGGTATCAGGACTCTAGTAGACACAGGGCATGTCTGGTATCAGGACTCTAGTGGACACAGGGCACGTCTGGTATCAGGACTCTAGTGGACACAGGGCATGTCTGGTATCAGGACTCTAGTGGACACAGGGCACGTCTGGTATCAGGACTCTAGTGGACACAGGGCACGTCTGGTATCAGGACTCTAGTGTACACAGGGCACGTCTGGTATCAGGACTCTAGTGTACATAGGGCACGTCTGGTATCAGGACTCTAGTAGACACAGGGCACGTCTGGTATCAGGACTCTAGTGTACACAGGGCACGTCTGGTATCAGGACTCTAGTGTACACAGGGCATGTCTGGTATCAGGACTCTAGTAGATGCGAAGTGAGAACTATGCCTGAGGGCTGGCTTGTTAGTGGGTGGAGCTATCCTCACAGCCAACGTTAAGGTGAAGTAGGGAATCTCCCTCCCCAGACTCCACCTAGCTACCCTCTTCTCCCAGTCCAACCTGTGAACAAACATACTGGAACATGCCTAACCCTGAACTCTGTGTGCATGGATGAGATCATTTCCCCCGCCTGATATCCTAATGTCTCTTCTTTCTCTGAAGCTGACTCAAATGTCATTCCCACACACCCGAGCAGACCAGTCTGGGTTCAGACCGTGACTCCTCTGCCTGCTGTGTGACCCTGGATGAAAACTTTAACTTTTCTTCCTGCTCCAATTTCTTTTCTGAAAATAAGGATCACAATCATAACCGGTGTCTTGGATGACTGGGGAAGAGTCACCGCCACACTGGCTAACAGCAGGGTTTAGACACACTGAACAAATGAACAGCCAGGGAAGTGCAGCAGCTGTCTCATGCAGTCTTGTTCTTTCTACTCTGTGGTACTTAATTCTCCCTGTCCTTTCACACCAAGAGGCCTGGGAAAGCTGCCACCAGACTGCCTTACCTTGTTGAGGCTCCCCAGGGCCATGACCTTGGCTACTGGCCTCCTGCTGAGCTGCTCTTTCACCCAAAGCTCAATCTGCTTGTTCCACTTCATGGTGAACACGTAGAGAGCGTAGGCCAGCAGCAGCAGCAGGCTCTCCCACCAGGCAATGAGGCTATCCAGGAAGAAGACGATGAGCATGGACAAGTCAAGGATGTAGAAGGAGACGTCACGGAACAAGGGCCACCAGGTGAGATTGAGGATCTCCCTGGAGAAGAGGGCGCAGGTGCCGATGACAAAAAGGATGTTGAACACAGCAGAGCCCACAATGGTACCGATACCCACATTACTGTGGGAGATAAAGACACCAATGAGAGAAGTGAAGAGCTCAGGGGCGGAGCCTCCGGCGGCCATGAATGTGGCGCCAGCCACATCCTCAGAGATCTGCAGCTTGTCTGTGATGACTCCCAGGGCTGGGACAAAGTACTCGTCACACACAATGGCCAAGGCCACAAACACGTACATCATGCCGAAGATGTGCAGGACCACCCAGCCCTGTCGCCGATCCTCCACACTGAACAGGTCTGGGGGGTACTCGGCCTTGGGGTGGAGGTTTGGCCAGTCAGGGGGTAAAGCTGAGGGACTGGAACTGGGAGCCTCTGGGAACAGAATGTTTGTCACGCTCGGAGATGAGGCCATGGGTACAGCTGGGGCCGGCTCCACAACCACACAGCGGTGGACCTGTGTGGTCAGCATTGCCTTGACTTTGGGAATTACTGGGGCACTGCGTACTGTGGAAGGTCTCTTTGCCAGCTCCCTGTTGGTGGCTGAGGCGATTCTAATGGTTGACACGCTGGTTCTGGATGAGGGATTACTAATTCTCCAGGCAGCAGCAGAAGCTTCAGTGGTTGATGGGGTACTACCCATCCTGGCGCTTACTGTCACTTGCTCCTCAGAGGTGGCTGGGGCGCGCTGTGGGACTGATCCCTGGGAACTGATAGAGCTGGTCTGTTCCTCTCTTCTAGAACTTCCCAGGGCATTCTCTGCCACCAAACTTGGAGAAGTCAAGAGGCTTGTTTCTACTTCATGTGTTAAGGAAGTCGGGGTGTTCAGAACCACTCTCTTGAGAGAAACTGCAGTGTTTTCTTTCATTGTTCTCTTGGGCAGTCTGGTCTCCCACAGCCTATAGGTTGCCATGGTTTTGCTGTCTTTCTCTGTTGTTGTGGGGGTGGTAGCAGATGGTGCACCCCCTGGGGATGAGGTAGACTTCCTTCCCTTTTTCCTGGGGTGAGTTGGGATGGAGTTTCTCCTTTCTCCCCTGGGTATTAGGGCATAGCTTTTTATTCTCTCTCTGCCTGACGCTGAGATGAAGTGGTTTGATGCTCTGCTAGGTGTGGGTGGAGTGTTTTCCTTTCTTCTTTCTGTGCCAGCTGCTGTAGGGCTATAATTATTCTTTGGTGATGTTGGGGTGATTTGGGTTGTTCTGAGTGGGTTAGGGGTATCCTCCATTGTTATGCTAGGTGTTGTTTCATCCCTGATTACTGTATTTTGGGGTGCTAGCATCTCACCGTCCACTTCAGAGCTAGCCTCTGGAGGGTCACTCCCCACCACTGTCATCTCATCACTAGGGAGATCCCTGCTGGCCAATTTAATAGGCTGCTGGGCAGAGACTTTTGTCCACCTTGAGAGAGGATTCTGGGGTCTCCTCAGGTGCTGATAGGTGGAACCAATGATCAACATTCCCAGGAGAAAAAGGAGGCGACTCCACTGAAGCCTCTTTGGTCGTCGGAATATCCGCCTCTCCTGTGTCCCCAATCTGATCAGTTTCCCCATGATGGTCAGTTATGTCTGGTTACAGTTGGCCTTTCATTCTGTCCAGAGAGAGACAGAGGCTGCTCTTGGATCCATGTTGATAATCAGAAAAGAATTTCGCCATGAAACCCAGCCAGGAGGTATCCACAAACCTAGAACAAGAGAAATTATTTGCCTTCTGCTGGGATCTAGAACTCTCTCACCTAGAAAAGTGTCCCAGGGACACAAAGCATCCCACAGAGAGCCTTGTGGTGGGAGCTCTTGTTCTGCAGGAGCGAAGCATCCCTGCCCTCCATTCCAGGTGCAATGCCAGAGAGTATTCTCACGCTGGGGACATGCCAGCCGTCCAGGCTTCTGCCTGAGCTCAGGTGGGCTTTTAGATTCTCCCATATCTTTTTTGCACTCCCTGCACCTCCTCAGGGCCAAGCCAAACTCAGACATCCATAACTGGGGCCCCAGCCACAGACCTCCGCTTCTCCAAGGGGAGAAGGAGCTAGGCAGGCATGACTTTAACATACAGATAGCAAGAGAAAGCAGTGAATGGCATCACCGCGGACAGTAAGTCAGGTACAGCTCTGTGTGCTCATGCTGCTGGTTTTCACTGTTGGGGGTTGAGGTTTGTTTGGGACTCTTTTCTTTATATAATTTACTTATTTTTATTCTATGTGTACTGGTGTTTTGCCTTCATGTATATCAGTGTGAAGATGCCAGATCTCCTGGAACTGGAGTCACAGACAGTTGTGAGCTGCCATGTGGGTGCCGGGAATTGAACTCAGGTTCTCTGGGAGAGCAGTCAGTAGTACTCCTATCTCTAACCCCTTGTTTGGGACTCTTAAAACGCTTCTACTGCCTCATCCAGAGAGGACAAAGCTTAAAAGTCTTGGGGCTTCTTACAGAACGATGTGGGATGGTAGAAGGAAAATGAGAAATGGAGCCAAAGGCCGGGACTCTCAACTCTGCTGCCTGCCAGCCGTGTCATCCTGGGTAAGTGACCTTAGTGTCTTAGCTGTGACATGGATATGTGTCGGTCAGGTCCTATGTATATGAGTTCTGGAAGGACATCTGCAGAAGGGAAATGGGACCATGGTCAAAGGGAAACTTAATTTTCACTATACTTTCAACTAGTTTGTCTTTTACCATGTGTATGCTGTAACATTTTAAACATAATTTTTGTTTGTTTACTTTGTTTTGTTTTTCAAGGTAGGGTTTCTCTGTGTAGCTCTGGCTGTCTGAGAACTCCATCTGTAAACCAGGCTGGCCTTGAACTCCTAGAGATCCACCTTCCTCTGCCTCCCAAGTGCTGGGATTAAATACGTGTGCCACCACCTCTGATTTAAGTGTAATTTTTTGAGAAGGATTTAATGTAGCCCATACTGGCTTTGAACACAATATTTAGGGAAAGATGACCTTGAACTTTTCCTTCTGCCTTCATCTCTATGAGACTATAGGCCTATGCCATCATGTCAAATTTGTGTGATTTGGGGGAATGGAGCCAGAGCTTCATGTGTGCTAGGCAAGCACTCTACCAACTGAACTATATTTAAGCACACTTAAATTTAATTTAATTTAATTGTAAGAATATTGCCCATATACATAGTAATGACATTGAGGTTACAGGAATTCTGAGAGGTCAAACACACAAAGTCTATGAGCTTTATACGAGGCTACAGGGGGAAAGACCCTCATGGAAACCTTATTTTATAAAGGGTCTTGAGACCCAAACCCAGCAAAAACCCATTAAAACTCTAACCTGTGTCCAACTGTACTGTACAACAATTACTAGAAATGCCTGGATTTGTGAAAGGTAGTAATACGTTCGATGTGGTCTGAGTAACACATAGGATCTGTCCTCTAGCGCTACCCCTGGGAGGTCCCCCGAGAGGAGAAGAGGTGTGATTCACGTAGTTTCACACCACTCCAAGGGGCCCAGACATGAACCTGCAGTGTATCACCCAGCAGTTTTGTAAACAACACTAACTGGAAGTGCCAAGGTGCCGGCCTACGATATAAAAGCAGAACCACCGGAGTGGTGAGAATAAATGAGCTTCCTCCTTTGTCCTGGTTCCCCTGGCCTTTCCCTGCCTCCCTCCAGCACCCTGCCCCTGGCCTTGAACTCAGCACGATGCAGCCAGCCCCTTCCTACAGAAAGTCTGGAGGGCCCCTCTCCTTCCCCTGTGCATGAGGAGGAGAACTGAGCTGGCAGGCACACCGGCTGCCCTCTTCCTAAGCACACCGTTTACCTTCAGACTTCGACATCTGCGCCTTCCAAGTTCTGGAAACTTGTCAGAATCCAGGGTCTCAAAGAGTGGGTGTGAAGCTGGACCATGGGGAACACCCCATTCTCCTACCCCCAGCTCCTTAGGGTCGAGTATGAAGGGCATGTCAGGGGAAGAATATCCAATCCTGGCTAATACCAGGCTCCTCTAAGAAGCTTATGGGGCATTGAACAAGTTCTGGGTCCCAGCGCCTCAGAAGAAGCCTGAGAGGGTAGACCTTTTACCAGGGACACAGAGTAGACTCTTCATGGGACCCCGCCCCCCCGCAAGAGGCAGTAAGGGAATGTCTCAAACTTACTACTAAAGCTATGGGAATTCGACGCCATTTAGGGCTTCCATCCTTAGGTGGGAGGAAAAACATGGATAGAAGCAGAAAGTCCTCTGAGGAAACCAAGGGAAAGTGCCTGGGGCTTAAGAGATCAGAAGACTTCAGCACCAGGCTCCAGTCTGTGAGTCGAAGCATAATCTAAGTGTGGAGACAGGTGGAGACATTAACACCCGCCCTACCTATGGGGGAGAGTGTGAAAACCAGAGTTGGAACGGAGGGACTGGAGCAAAAGTACTTTGCAAACTTGAAAGCATTTTGCAAGCGGAATGTATTTTATTAAGCCAAAAGGAAATCCTCGGGGGATCATGCCTGAACATCACAAGGTACCTAAGATGTTGGCTTCCTGAGCCTCTTGCACCTCTAGGTGACCACTCAGAGCCAATCACAATGGAACTCGGGTAAAACAGTGAGGTCCTGAGCCTGCAGCCATGTTCCAGCTGACTCTGCCTAGTAGTTACTGTCTACTTTCCCCATTTTCTGCACATCCATGAGTAGCTTCTGCTGTAATCCGAAATAGCAGGTAATCCCTCCCCGCCTCACCTCTGTCCCATGTCACCCTAAGTAGCCCAGAAGTGTGAAAGGGAAACGGCTACCTCTGCCAAACCCTGAGGTGGCACCACCGCCGTCAGAAGAGCCAGGCAGATCTCTGTGTCCTGCAGTAACACTGAATGCCTGTGCCTCGGGAAGGAAGGCGGCCTCCACTTTTCCTCTCTTCGGAGTTCCCTCTGGCCTGCAGAGACGGAGAAGAGAATACAATTAATTGATGAAGTGAGTTTTTGTTTCCGCTGGAACTTCTTCTATCTTAAAGTGTTACTTATATGACACAGAACATTCAGGGGAGAAGAAAACCCCCAGAAAGAGATTCCTTCCTCTCATGTCCTCTACCAGTGGGCCCAAGCTGCAGTGCTGGCAGTATCACCCCAACTTCATTAGCTCCAAGTCCCCACCAAATGACCCACCGATTATTAATTATTTTGCAGAAATGGCCAGGTCAGATCAGCAGATGCACAAGATTCGACAGTAGCTGCAGACTAAACAGGCTGTCATGGAGAAATCTGAAAAGGCCACACAACTTCGAGCGCTTAGGAAATACGGGAAAAAAGGTGCAGACTGAGGTCCTCCAGAAGAGATAGTGGGAGAAAGCACATATGATGAATGCCATCAAGAAATACCTGAAAGACTTCTCTGATAAGCTGGATTCCCTTGAGGGGAATCAGAAGCCTGTTGAATGCGGTGCAAAAGCCAGAACGAAGAGCCAGAAGATGAGTAAAGGGCCCAATGCCAAACAACGATACAAAAACCAGAAGTTTGGTTTTGGTGGAAAGAAGAAAGAGAGCTATGATGATGCCTCCAGCTTCCTAGCCAAAGTGGCTCATGGCAAGCGCCCCAGGAAGCCTGGCAAGAGAGGGGCAAATAAGCACCCGGGAAAACGAGCAAGACAGAAGAGGAAGAGCAAAGCCTGCCTAGCAGCATTGTGCTCTCTAAAGAACCGAGAAAAAAGGGCAAATGTACAGACTCCAGAATGCTAAGAGTTTTTGTCTTTCTTTTTATAGAATTTTTTTTAAATAAATTAAACCTATGAAAGATACTTTTGGTTAAAAAAAAACGAGACTAAAAGATTGAGAAGTTTGCATATTAAAGAATATTGCTGACAAAAAAGAAATCTTTAAGGGTTTTGTTTATTTTGCTTTAAAAAAATTTAAAGACTTCTTTTGTTTGTAATCATGTGTATGCGTGAGTGTATGTCACCTGTGGGCTGGTGCTGATGGAGGCCAGAAGGGATCCAAATTCCCTGGAGCTGAATTTACAGGAGATTGTGAGCTGTCTGATGTGGGTGCTGGGACTTGAAGCCAGGTCCTCTGGAAGAGTAGCCAGTGCTCTGGTTATAACCACCGGGTCATCTGTGCAGTCTTTTATTTTGCTTTATGTACTTGTTCTCTTAAAGACGCTATCGAGGTTTTACAGGACTGAGTAGCCAGACTGACTAGGTGGGTAAGAGACAAGATCACAAGGGTCTTTAAAAATGCAGACTTTAAGACACTTTTCAAAAAAGAATGTCCCAGGGAAAGAAATTCAGTTCTTTTTCTTACAGAAATGTGGTACCCATTCATTTTTCTCTGCTTTTCCCTCTGACTTTGCCCGCAAAAGACCCCTCTACTTTCTGCCTGTCTTCTTTCCAGCATCACATGAGACTGGGGGGCAGAGGCGGGGTGAGCATCCAGTGGTGGATAAGGCAAGCTCCTGTTTGCAAAGCAAAGAAGTTCATTGGGATAGAAAACATATGAAAGCTTTTCTTTGTTTGGTGAATCTTGCTGTGACTTTAGAATAGAGAGAAGCTTTGTCACTTTCTCAAATGCTCGGAAAAAGACTGGAAGAGGATTTGAGGGCAATTAAAAGAAAGAGGCCATAGTTTCTTCGTGAAAAGAGAAGAGACACAGAGGGGGAGACCTAGAGTTAGAGTTTCCAGAGGCAGAGCAACAGTTTCAGTGTTTGGGGGCTGGGTAGATCTGGCTGTGAGGTGCTTGCTCCACAAGCATGAGGCCCCAGATTTGGATCCCCAGCCACAATATAAAAATACTATGTGATAATGCAAGCCTATAACCCCAGAACCAGAGAGACAGCAACAGGTAAATGTCTTCTGGGAGCGCATTAGTCAGCCAGACTTTGGAATGACAGTATCTCAGAGGGCAACTGAGGAAGCCATCCTGTGTCAACCTCTAACCTTCACCCGTGCGTGCCCTCACACATGTGCATGCCTCATGCACACAAAGACTTCAGTGTTTAGGTACTAATCATGATCCAAAGAAACAAATCAAAACAAAAACGAAAAGTAAAATGTTGCTGGGCAATGGTGGTGCACACTTTTAATCCCAGCACTCAGGAGACAAAGGCAAGAGGATCTCTGTGAGTTTGAGGTCAGCCTGGTCTACAAGAGCTAGTTCCAGGACAGCTAGGGCTACACAGAGAAACCCTGTCTCAAAAAACAACAAAAAAGTGTAATGCTTCAGATTACTGGATGTTTGAAAGCTGATTTAAGGATATTAGAGATTTATTGTCATTTTAAATTTGATTGTAGCAGTATAATTATGTTTTTTTTTTTTAAGTTCTTATTCAGGGGGATCTGGAGAGATGGCTCAGTGGTTAAGAATACTGGCTGGTCTTCCAGAAGACAGAATTGGTTCTGAACATCCACGTGGCAGCTCACAAACATCTTTAACTCCAGTACCCGGGGATCTGACGCCCTCTGCTGGTCTCTGCAGCCTCTTCTTTCTTCTGTAAAATCAAAATGGGATACACTGAGCAAGTTGCCTAGCAGACTAGCCAAATGGTGAGACCTGTACTTGATTGAGAGACCATGCCTCAAGTAGAATAAGGTGGAGAGCAACTGAGGAAAATTCCTGACATCACCCTGGAGCCTCAGTTCCACATGCACTCATAAGAACATGCATACAGCGCGCGTGTGCACACACACACACACACACACACACACACGATCACACACGATAAAAAAAATTCCTTATGTTTTAGAGATAGATACCAAAATGTTTCTAGACAAAATGTTATGTTATCTCTACCAAAATATTATATTGGGAAGAGGTAGGTTGAGATGTAAATGAGTGAAGATCAAGAGTAGAAATTGGGTGAAGAGGGATTTATTATGCCATTCCTCCATCTTTGTGTGGTTCTTGTCTTTTTTTGGGGGGGGGAGTCTCATTATGTATCCCTGGCCAGCCTGAACTCAACATGTAGAGTAGATTTTTCTGGAAACCAGAGATCTTTATGTTCATCTCCCACGTGCTGAGATTGAAGGTGTATGCAGCACCGTGCTGGATTTTTTTTTTTTAAAGATGAGGTTTCATGTAGACCAGACTGGCCTTGAAGTTAACAAGTTCATATGTAGTTGAATTTCTGAACCTCTGGCCTTCAGTTCTTGAGTGCTGGGATTGCAGGAAAGTTCCAGTGAGCCTTGCTGATGCAGGACGGCTGGCATCGAACCCAGGACTTTGTGCATACTAAACTAAGCAAGTCCTCTACCAGCTGAGCAACATCTCTGCCTCCAGACTTCTGGAAGAGGTGTTGTGTGGTTTTTTTTTTTTTTTTTTTTTTTTTGAGAAAGGCCATATCTCATATTTCACTAGACTTCTACTTTGGGGGAACAGTGGGACGAAAAACTGGATAGAGGGCAAGCGTGGAGCTTGGACAAGACTTAAAAGTGGGTTGGGGCCAGGTTGGAGGCAGCAGGAAGGAAGGTAAAGGGTTAGCACACGTGCAAGAGAGTAGGGAAGAATGGAAAGGGGAAGTGAGCCCCTCCCTTTCTTTCCACTTTTTCTGTACTTGCTACTTACCCTTCTCTCTGTAGAAGAAAAACCTAAGAACTTAGTGAACAAACCCTGAAATTCCAGTCCAGTTCACAGGGTGCAGGAAGCTACATTTTCAACAAGTGCCCCTAGAAAACTGGGTATCTAGAACTCCCTGTGAGCCCCAAAACCTAGTCCCTGAGAATAGCTCAAGATCTGACACTTTCATTTTATCACATCATGACCCAACCACTCCACCTTTCAAAGCCTGGGTCACAGAAGTTTACTGTTTCAAATCAGGAAATAAGGGGATGAGAATCACAAAGGGGGTGGTACTTACTGGTTTCCTTTAAAGTGTGTGTGGGAACATATAAAGACAGGGGGCCTTTCAGACGGGAAAAAGAGACTTATCAGTCGGTTAAAGCTTGGAAGTCTCCTTTGACTCACTCTGACCCTTTCCCCAGTGTTCTCTGATTTTATATTCGCCGAAAAACCTTCTGGTTTTCAATGGATCTCCACTAAAAAGGAAAAAAAAATCTCTAAAACATGTAATGGTTGTCCTAAGTTACCCGGTCTCCTCTTGATAGTTCTGTTTTGTTTGTTTGCTTTTTGTTTTTCGAGACAGGGTTTCTCTATAGCTTTGGAGCCTGTCCTGGAACTCTGTAGACCAGGCTGGCCTCTAACTCAGAGTCCCCTTCCTCTTCCTCCAGAGTGCTGGGATTAAAAGTGTGTGCCACCACCACCTTGAGATAGTTCTGTCTTTATCATCAATTTTAATAAACTGATCTTTTCTTTTCTAAGTCTCTGAAAGGCCAGTTGTTCAGCAGAACTAGGGCAAAAATCTTACCACCCATCAGATGATTGGCAACGAGCAAACAGATAAACTTAAGTTTAGACTTTAAGGTAATAAACAAGACCATGTAGCTCAGCTGGCCTAGAACAGCAACCCATGGCTGAATCATCAACACACTGGGGCATCTAGACAGATAACTCCGCTGCCTGCACAGTCTTGGCCAGATCCTTCCTGAAAGGAGGAGATTGAAAAAAAATAGGGCTAGATAATCAAGCTTACTTACCTAGAGCCCCGTGCCTGCTCAAACAGAACACAGTCTTAGGTTGAGACCAGCGAGGTTGCGGAAAGGTGTTCTTAAGCAAATGGGAGCTAAGTCTGCAGGCTGTGTGCCTTGATACTGGTGAAGATATTCCCAGAGTCTGATGTGGCTTTGTCTGCCACCTCTAATAGAAGAGAGGAAGCAGGAAAGAACAACAAGCAACTAGACCCACACTCTCTCCCACAGGACAAGTTGTGTCAAGTCAGTTCTAAGAGTTTTCCTCCCTTAGCCCACTTGCAACCACAAGCGAAAAGAAAAGGTCCTATGCCTAAGGCCTTCTGGGAGTTCTGTGTTCTCACTTGTCACTAGTCTTGTGAAGCATTGCTCTTTGAACCAGAACTACCAGGGGCCTGCTAGCATCCACTACCAACCACTAACTGGCACTCCCTGGGTCCCAGCAAGTCACCTTTTGCCCACCTCAACCTCCAATCCCCTAAGGATCTTCCTGAGTCACATATTATGCTGGGGACATCCGGGGGACAGAGGAGCAGGCAGGGGCCCATGAAACCTTAAAAGGAAGCTGAAATGCAAACCCCTCAGCACGCCTTAGACACTCAGAAGTAATAACTAACCGAGCCACGCCTCCGGCTGTCTCAGGGGTAGGGAAATACCATGGGCTATGTATGTTCTGAGGGGAACTAAGACCTCAATGCAGAATAGGCTCAGGTCAGCCAGGTGCTTAGTCTGAGCACTCAGCCGGGAATTACAACTTTTGTTGGTTTGTTTGTTTGTTTTTGCTTTTCAAGACAGGGTTTCTCTGTAGTTTGGGAGCCTGTCCTGGAACTTGCTCTGTAGACCAGGCTGGCTAGTCTCGAACTCACAGAGATCCTCCTGTCTCTGGCTCCCGAGTGCTGGAATTAAAGGTGTGTCCCACCACCCACCCGGAATTACTGCTCTTAAGAGTAGGAAGAGCATTCTGTCTTTTGCGCAGAGGATGTGCTTGAGAATTCTGAAGGAAAAAAAGCTATGACAGAAAGAGTCCGAGACTGGCCAGGAGGGGTCTACAGAGACCGCGAGGTAGAGGCAGATGGGGGAAAGTAAACAGAGAATGGGGTAAGAGAAGGAGGGAAGGTCCAGAACTGAACAAGACTCAGCTTCATTAGAAATTGGGCTCCGTGGTCCAGAGGCGGGGAAGATGCGCCCCTTAGCGCCCCAAGCGAGCTACAGCCCAGCTCCGGCGGTCTGGAAGCCCCGCCCAGGCCGCGCTGTCCGCAGACTCCGGGTTCCCTTGTGTGGCGCGGCCCTTAAGTTCTGGCTGTGGCGCGCGGGCGGAAGGTTTAAGCGGACGGACCGACGCTGGAGATGCGCTCCGGGTAAGTCCGGGAAGCAGTGGGCTGAGGGTTTTGTTGCTGGTTGGGGTTACCGGAGACGGGGTGAAGGAGAAACGGCAGCGGGCGGGCGACGAGCCTTCGCTGCCGCCTAAGCGGGGTGGCCGTCTCTGGGCGCTGGCTCCCGGGCCTGCTCCCGGCCTCCTTTCCGTGTGGCCCGGGTCTTCAGCGCGGCTCTGGTAAACAGTGGGATTTCGCGCCGGAGCCAGGACTCCTGTGTTCCCTCTACTCCAGACATCCGTCCCTGGCCCCTGAGAGTTCCATCTCCTCTTTCCCCAACTAGTGTTTTGGGCTCTTTTTAAAGGTAAAATTCTGCCGGGCGGTGGTGGCGCACGCCTTTAATCCCAGCGCTCGGGAGGCAGAGGCAGGTGAAGCTCTGTGAGTTCGAGGCCAGCCTGGTCTACAAGAGCTAGTTCCAGGACTGGCTCTAAAACTACAGAAAACCCTGTCTCAAAAAACCCAACAACAAAAAATAGAGGTAAAAGTCTGTTCTCCAGTTGCAATCCAAATGAAGGATGCTGTATTTCAGGCCATTCATTCAGAGACTAATCATCTGAGAACTCAGAGTCCTATAGGGCAAGTCGGGGTGACAGAAAAACCGAATGTGCACTTAGAAACTGAAGTGGAATCACGTTTGGGAGGGAGACTCCTGAAACTCCAGTTGCTGTGGACAGGCTAATTGACCCCTTCAGGGTAGAACCATAAATATAGTTGACGACTTCTAGAGCAGTCGGGTGGCGAGGGTGTATCATCAGGAGAAAGAAGACCCTTAGTTATCCGAAACATTGACTGTAAGATGGTATCCACTGGAAAGAGTCAATCCAAGTGAGAAATACATCGTGTTATCTCAAAAGCGAAGCTAGTAGGCAGAGGTTTAATTTTTTTTTTTATTGTTAACTAGGTTTAGACTACTCGAGTGAACCAGCCTTCAGGAACGTTCCATTCTTTCTTCTATCCCAGTGCTTACAACCTGGGTACAAAATTGGATTGCCACAAGTTGGCCACGGCAGAGGGCGTTGTGCTTGGGACCTGACACACATGCCTCAGACAAGAGAAAGAGCCAGCTTCTCAGGTGTCCTCAGAGTCGGTCACCCATTGCAGTGCTGACAGCAGATTTCGTGGACTAGAAGTGCTTGTTGGTACCTGATGAGTTATCTGTTTCCCCTTCTAAGAGGTGAGGGCAGTATTCCCCATGACCTTCCACTTTTCAAAAGCATAAAGGCCTTCATGCATAAATATGACCACAAGATCTGGATAAACCATAACTGAGCAAAGTGCAGGAATCATTGGTGTCTCTGCTAGAATAAGAAGAAAGGAGGTGTAACTCTGGTCACGGAGTTAAAATTTTTAATGTATTTTGCTAATGAATGAAAGGTGTATGTTGTGATTAGGGTAGTTCATTAGTTAGGATCAGGTATCTGTTGAGCAGATGTAGCTCTGAGTAGACATTAGTAGACAAACCCTATTGTGATCCTTGCCCTTAGCTCACTAATAATAGTTCTGAACTCATTTTTCTTGGAGCTGCTCTGCAGACCAGAGTTCTGCAGGGTGGACTTAGAAAAATGCTAGTATGTAGCAAATCAGGGCAGTAAGGTGCTGGGTGGTGAGGCCATGCCATCTCCCCAAGGGTGGGTATGTTTACCATGCATTGTTTAATGAGGAAGAGAGAGGGATACATATTTCAGTGTGAGGCTGGAGTGGCTCATGGGTTAAGAGCACTTCTGGAGGACCTGAGTTAAGCTCTTAGCACCCACATTAGGCAGCTCACAACCACCTGTAACTCCAGCTCCAGGGGATCCAACACCCTCCTCTGGACTCTACTGGGCACCTGCTCCTACTTCGCATGCACTCACACAGACACACACACTGAATAAAAATAAATTTGTTTTTCTTTTAATTTTCTTTCAGACTGTCTTAACATTTGGATGTCTAGGAGAGTCTGAAAAAGCAGTTCTTTTCTCTGGGTTAACTTTTTTGGTATTGGATACACGAGATGTTACACTATTTGAGATGTATCTCTGGTCATTGTGGTAAAAAGACTTCTCCTGTTTGATCTGCATCCCTAACCCTTACATATAACATTGTTTCCAAGACCCAGTCTATGCTCAATTTCCAACAACCTACTTACAAGAGGAATTCTAGGATATGTAGTTGGTCATATACCTAACAGGAAATCTGCCTCTTGTTAAGTTAATAAAACTAAATTTTGAACCTGATGAGTCTGCCCTAATTGTGTATAATATATGCAATGTGATTTTTCTTATTTTAGTCTTTTGAGACAGGATTTCTTATAACTCAGACTGGCCTCAAACATCTTAGAAGCTAATAATGACCTTGGAGTTCTGATCCTTCTGACTCCACCTCCGGAGAGCCCAAATTACAGGCATGTACAATTGTGGCTTACAATGTCATTTTAAGTTTTTATTTTTTGAGACAGAATCTTATTATATAGTCCAGGCTGTCTTGGAACTCACTATATAATCCAAACTGGCCTTGAACTCACAAATCTACCTCTCAGGTGCTTGGATTAAAGCTGGGGCTAATGCTACCATGCCTGACCTACAGTATAATTTTTATGAATTCACATGCAGTGTACACACACATGCATGCAGGCACAAACACACATGTATTATGAACTGCTTTTTTAAAACTTCATTCTTTATACATAAATATTTTCTAAATCTGTCATTTATTTTAGCTCTTTAACATTTTATTGCATCTGCAGATTAATAAAGGGGCAGCAGTCTCTATCCACATGAGCAGATCTGTGTGTCTGGAAACTTTATTCTTGAGAACAGAAGCAATACTGAGCTTATTTCATAATCTTAAAGAGCTCTTCCTTTCTTCCATTTCTATATTTTTATTCAGTTGCATGAAGAAATTTTAACTTTCATAGAGATTTTTAATTTTTCTTTTCCTAAAACAAAGGCACCAAGCCACAGAGGAATTAAACCCTTGTACTAATGCTACAGTATTCATCAAGATAGTAGCAAAAAAAAAAAACCAGTCGATTGTCAGGTAGTACATTGCATTTGATGGCTAGACGCCATCAATAAATTAAGGCATTGATGTAGGAGTATTTATTGTATTAAGTTGTGTGAAACTGAAAAGTTTGGAGTCAGGGACTACCTGAGTTTATGTAATGCACGTCTGCATTTAATGCCCTTGAATTAGGCCTGCTTAGTGGGTGTGTCCAGGAGAGGCCCTCACAGTGAACCAGTCTTCTTGTTCTCCTTCTCCCTTAATTCTGTGGGGCTTACCTCCATATATTTCTAGGAAACTGGTTAAAATTGTGTTGAAAAACTTTCCTTCCCAGGATATGTAAGATCTTATTCTTTTCCACAGCATTTCTCCGGTTGTAGCTGGCTCTCTGTTCTGAGGGGGAGTGCTAGAACTGTGCCACCATGCCCACTGTGGTGGTAATGGATGTGTCCCTTTCCATGACCCGACCTGTGTCTGTCGAGGGGTCTGAGGAATACCAGCGGAAGCACCTGGCTGCCCACGGCTTGACGATGCTATTTGAACACATGGCCACAAACTACAAGCTTGAATTTACAGCACTGGTGGTTTTTTCATCACTTTGGGAACTGATGGTCCCCTTCACAAGAGATTACAACACCCTGCAGGTACTCACAGGATCCATTATTGTAGGTACATTTTGACAGAGCCCACATTTACTGGGAGATAACAGTATTGTGATTGTGGACTGACTTTAGGACTTGGAATTTAGGTATGCAATCTATAACTGAAAACGAGGTTCACATGGTCCTAACTTTCCGCTGGCAAAGCCATTAAATAGGAATGTGCTTTATTTTCTTCTCTTGGATTTTGGAATCTGAGGATAGTGCTCTGTGTGCTAGAATTTAGCATCTTTATGTCTAACATCATTTCTACCTTCTCATAAAATCTAAGGAACTAAAAAGTGGTCATCCTCGCTTTTTAAAAATCATTATTACAGGGGCTGGAGATATGGCTCAGTGGTTAAGAGCACTGACTGCTCTTCCAGAGGACCCGGGTTCAATTCCCAGCACCCACATAGCAGCTCACAACTGTCTGAAAATGCAGTTGCAGGGGATCTGACACATTCACACCAATGCACACAAAGTAAAGTTAAATAAACCATAAAAATATTTTTAAAAAATCATTATTACAGAAATTCAAAATTACTTTTCTCTCTGACAGATAGCTTTGATTTTTTTTGTTTGTTCTGTTTTGTTTTTCAGGACAGGATATCTCTATGCAGCCTTGGCTGTTGTGGAACTCTGTAGACCAGGCTGGCCTTGAACTCACAGAGATCCGCCTGTCTTTGCCTCCCAAGTGCTGGGATTAAAGGCATGCGCCACCACCTCTACCAGGCCAAAGATACATTTTTTAACCCTTGGCCAGTAGCTATTATCTTCAAGGCTTTTCTGCAGTATGCCAAAGAATTTACTTTCTGACATCTTTAAATCACTGATATTTCCAGGAGTACTTAACATAGCACCTTGCCCCCTTGTATTTGTGGAATTAAACTGAATAGTTTAAGTCATAGTTAAGCAAGTTGGAAAGCAAGGGTCAATTTAGACTGAATTAAAAATATATTTATGGGGGCTGGAGGGATAGCTCAGAGGTTAAGAGCACTGGCTGCTCTTCTAGAAGTCCTGAGTTCAATTCCCAGCAACCACATGGTTACTCCCAACCATCTGTAATGAAATCTGGTGCCCTCTTTTGGCCTGCAGGGAGGGATACATGTAGGCAGAACACTGTATGCATAAATACTATCTGTCTCTCTGTCTGTCTATCTATCTATCTATCTATCTATCTATCTATCTACATACACATATATACATATATATATATGGAAAGGGGGCAGGAGAAATGACTCAGAAGTTAAGAGCACTTATTGCTCTTGCATGTATGTGATACACATGTGTAATATATACAGACATACACACAAATTAAGTATTTTAAATATATATGTAAGGAAAACATTTTTGTTAAGGTGTTCTCTCTCTCTCTCTTTTTTTTCCCATTTTTCAGGACAGGGTTTCTCTGTGTAGCTTTGGTGCCTATCCTGGAACTAGCTCCTGTAGACCACACTGGCCTCAAACTCACAGAAATCCTCCTGCCTCTGCCCCCTGAGTGCTGGGATTAAAAGCGTGCGCCACCACCACCCAGTTCAAGGTGGTCCCTTTTTTAGCTCCCATTTTATTTTTTCTTCTAAATGTACTAGTTCACTTTGAGGGGATTTAAGACAAGGTCTTTTGTATAACCCAGGCAGACCTCCAATTCTCAATCTTCCTTACCCTCTTGAGTACTGGCATTACAGACATGCACCACCCTGCCTGGCTTTTACTATTTTTCTCACAAGTGATTAAGCTTAAGGAGTCTGATATTCAGGGTTCTGAAATTTGGAGAATTGCTGTATATGGCACTGAGAAGCCATAATTAAGATCTGGAACCCTGAAGTCAGTCTGCCTGGGATTCAGATGTATGCCCCGTCACCTCTTATCATGAGAAAGTTACTTCATCATTCTGTACCTCGGTTTCCCTGTTTAAAAGAGGCAGTGGCAAGATGGTCAAATGTATATAAATGCTGGAAATGGTGTTTAAGGTGTGAGTAATAGCTGGGCAGTAGTGGTGCACGCCTCTAATCCCAGCACAGAAGACAGAGAGGCAAATGGATCCCTGAGTTTGGAGCTGGTCTGATCTATAGAATGAGTTTCAGGATAGTCAGGGCTACACAGAGAAACTCTGTCTTGAAAAAAGAAAGAAAGAAAAAGAAAAAGACATGTGGTTAAGGTTGGATACAGCTGTAATTTTCATTTTTGTAATGTGTTTTAGTTCTTAATTTCGCTATTTTCATTTTCCTTCAAGTCCACTTAGACACAGGCTTGGAACTGCCCACGCTCACCTAATAAGAGGAGAGAATAAAGAAAGCCAATTTAAATATCCTTTATAGTTGAGAAAAATCTGTCTCATTGTTTTTCTCTAAAGAACCTGTGCTTTGTGGCTCTCAGAGACTTGGTGTACCCTGTGTAGCATGTATGCTTTGAACAATCTGTGTTTTCTGATATAACAAACAATAAAGAACAGTAAGCGCTTGTGTTTTTTATTCTACAAGGAAGCACTGAGTAACATGGATGATTATGACAAAACCTGCCTGGAGTCTGCATTAGTTGGCGTTTGCAATATTGTCCAGCAAGAATGGGGTGGAGCGATTCCTTGCCAGGTAATGATCAATTCTTTCTTATCACCCTAAGTTAAAAGCGTCAACTGCTGAGTGCTTTGATTTTCTTTAGCTTATTCCATCAGCAGATGACACAGCTTCATCATTCTAGAAACTACATCTTACACCATTCGTATTTGGAAAAGGCTCTGAATCACCCTAATTCATCAGCTAATCTAATCCACATTGTGCTAATGTGCTCATGAAGCAGCAAAATGATCCCTCAAGGAAAGCAAAGCAAATCGGCTTACTACAAAGTAGCACCATTTGTAGAAGAGACAAAGGGCTCCCAGTGGAGTATAAGAACTGTGTTCCCTGGAAAGGGTAATTGTAGTTTTGAGTGGTAGAATTGTAAACATCAGTATAGTCTGGTCTTTCTTTATTCCTTCAGTGTAGTATTTATTCAGCAAACTTCTGTCTCAACTCTAAATTGTATGGAAGTGAAGTAGAGAAGTATCAAAAGCTGTCTTGCTCCTTTTGTGAAACCTACAGTGGTTCCCTATTAGCATCAAAACAAAGCAGAGTAGCAACAGGAAAGAGAATTAATTAGATGTCTGGTGTAAACTGATACTTTGAGAAGTAGTGGCTTATCTAAAAGGAGAAAACAAATACTGCTAACAGGAAAATTATAACAGTTTTTCTGTGTTTAGGCTTTGCAGATTTCTGTCCCGCTCACTGAGTTCTGTAGTTATAGTATGATAGAGCCATAGCATAAGAAGTGAATGAGGCACTCGGGAGGCAGAGACAGGTGGATCTTTGTAAGTTCGAGGCCAGCCTGGTCTACAAGAGCTAGTTCCAGGACAGACTCTGAAGCTACAGAGAAACCCTGTCTCGAAAAACAAAAACAAAAAAAAAAACAAAAACAAAAGAAGTGAAGAGGATGGCTATGTTGCTTTATCTACAAAACTAGACCGTGATTAGATTATGGCCTCTGGGCCCGTTTGCCCCAGCATATGATGTAGGACTTTCTATTAGAGGGTCAGTTTCCTCAGTAATATCAATGGCATAATTAGTATTTTATTTTCTAATTCACATTTCATGTATAAAGCCAGGCACATATCATACACCTATAATTCCAGTGCTTAGGAGACAAGACTGGGAGATTGCCAATTCAAGACTAGCCCTTGCTATGAAGTGAGACCCTGTCTTACAAAAACAACACAAGGGGGCTGGAGAGTGGCTCAGCAGTTAAGAGTACTGACTGCTCTTCCAGAGGACCTGGGTTCAATTCCCAGCTCCCACATGGCTGTTCATAACTCTCTGTGACCACAGTCCCAGGGTATCCAAGGCCATGAGGCATGCACATGGTGTACAGACATACACACAGACAAACACCTACACAAAGAAAATTACAGTGGGGAGGTGTGACTCTGATTAGAGCACTGACTGTTCTTACAGAGGACCCAGATTTGATTCCCAGCACCGACATGGCAGTTCCTAACTGTCTGTAATGCCAGTCTCGGGGGATCTGATGCCTTCTTCTGCCTTCCTTGGGTATCAGGTACACACACAATGTACAGATATACATACAGACAAAACACTCATACACATAAAATAAAAAAAATTTAAAACCCCAGCAACAGTAGTTTTAAGATTGAAGTTGCTTGGCAGTGAAGAAAGGCTAGAGGTTAATTGAGAAGACATAGAGACATAGGAGGCTGAGGTTGATTGAAAAGACGTGGAAGAGAATGTAGGGTATGTTACAAACCTGTTCTCTAGATTATAGGAATGCTTACATAATTAAATGCGGTGGTCAGAACTGTATACTAAAACCACTCAGTTTTGCTGCATGAAAATTATATATCAAGTCAAATTTTGGAAAAAAATTAAAAAAAACTTTTTTACTAGAGTGAAAACCACACTGTTTAAATTCTTGAGCTCATAAAGACCCTGTGTTACTTTAGACAGTTAAGTCAAATCATTTTAGTAAACATTTGTTAATGAAAACAACAAATGGGGCTGGCGAGATAGTACAGTTAGGAACACTCGGTGTTTGTGCAGACAGAGGACCTCGGTGTGGCTTCCAACACTCACAGTGTAACTCACAACTGTCTGTAACTCCACTCCAGGAGAGCTGATGGGTAGATGCCCTCTTTTGTCTTCCTCTGGTATCAGGCACACCTGTGGCGCATGTATATCCATGTAGGACATACACATAAAAAAACAAACCTTTAAGAAGACAGCAAATGTCTTTTGATTAATTCTTTTCAGGAAAGCAGTACATAACTTTATAGACATCATTTTCCTTGCCTGCATATATGTCTGTGTACCATGTACGTGCCTGAAATATTCAAATGAATATCTGATTTTTCTAATAATAAACTGAATAAATAAAGATTTTTGTCAGTATCTTCTGAACAGCAGGTACTGGTTTCATTTGCTCTTCTGTGATGAGAGGGGTCAGGACTGATTTTAAGGGCTAGACCTTTGTAACATGCAGACATCACCTTTTCATCTTTTGTTTAGATTTTGTTTTGTTTGTTCATTTTTTAAGGGAGAAAGAAGAACCTGAATTGGAGAGGAACTGTGTCAGAATGCCTAAATCCATTTAGACTTGCTAAATGTATAAAATCCAAAGTACTGTATTAGAAATGATAATTACTGGTGATTTTACAACCAGTTAATATGAAATTTATTTAAATGTGGGTTTTTTTTGGCTAACACTTTGAACAGCCAGATTGTACCTTCATTATCTGAGTAGTGTTTCACTTGGGCATTACATGTAATCTGTCATAACACACATCCGCAGCTGGTGGGATGGTTCAGTGGGTGAGGTGCTCACGCTTCAAAAGCCTGGCACCTGAGTTCAATCCACAGAACCCATATGAGATGAAAGGAAAGGGCTGAATCCATAGAGATGCCCACTGACTTCCACTTACACACGTCATGCGTGTGTATGTACACACACACACACCAGCATCTATAAAAGCTAGTATAAGAAGTAAATCACACTATTTATAAATTGTTGGTTCCTGGAAGAAGAAATTGCCACGTATTCAATAGACTACCTTCCCAAAAGATGATCTCCACCCAGGGAACCTCTACTCTGTATTCTATGGTGAAGTCAGTGCCGGTGTTGGTGCCCCATGAGGTGCAGCCACCCACTAGGCTAAAGAGAGCTAAATTAGTCTTCCCTCGGGACGCTTAGGAAGTCCACTAGGGCTTCACTATCACTCTGAAGCCGTGGAAAAGAGAAAATGGCTTTTCAGATACCATTTTCAGATCTATTTTATTGACCTTTTCAAATTACAAGTTAAACGTGTGTTTTTTAAAAGTCTTGTTGCTGCCAAAATGGCCTGACAGATATTTTTACACTTAGTAGTGAGGACAAGTGACAGTGCCAGATGCATTTTAAAAGTAGTTGTCTTTTCAGCTGACCAAGAATAGGATTTGTCATCTTTAAAATGAAGTAGCACAATTCAAATTTGGGGCTCTTTCCTTGAGGAACCTATAGCACTGTGTCTTACCATTTCTTAGACCAGTGCCTTAAGTTCTGATTCCTTATCTATTAAGTAAAAATTGGCTATGATTGCTTTTTTCCTTTAAATGTTCAAAGGTAGATTCAAAAAATAACTAGAGTTGGATGTGGTGGTGCACACCTTTATTCCCAGCACACAGAAGGCAGAGGCAGGCAGATCTCTGTGAGTTAGAGGGCAGCCTGATCTACATAGTGAATTCTAAGTCAGCCAGAGCTAAAAAGTGAGGCCCTGTCTTTAAAAAAATAAAACAAAAATAACAATTAAATGAAATAGTGTATGCATTTTAAATACACGGTTCATTGACTCCCAGATGCATATATCTTTGTAAGCACCACTTTAATAAAGATATGTTCCCTATCTCCCTCCCACCCCAGGTTCAGGAAACCTTGGGGAAGAGGCTGAAGAGAGAATGTGAGAGCAGGAAGATAGGGAGGAGTGCTGTGACATGCCATCCCACTCATGAGTTCACAGCAGTTGTGGTTACCTGACAAGATGAAGCTAGTAAAAATTCCTTTGTATATCAGGAAGGGCTCACGAGCCCCATTCATAGCTGAGGAGATATTGGCAGTTGGTAACTACAAAAGGAAGGAAAGTAATTTGTCCTTGAAGGTGTGGCCCCTTGTAGGTTGCTCTGCTCCAGGGGTGGCCCCACACTCGTATGCATAAAGGTAGCACTAATTGTGTTCAGCAGGTGATTTTTAAAAATATAGAAAAGAGAAGGAAGAAGTAAAATTGAGATCGTGTTTTGGGAGTAGCCTGGGGAGAAATGGAGAAGGAGAGTGAGGAAGTGGATATGGTCAAAATACATTTATGTATCTGGACTTCTCAAGGAATAAGACGCTTTATATATGTATGAAACATAGGATCTTCCTGTCACCTCACAGATCCTCCCCTTCTTTCTAGCAAGAGTAGAGAATAATAAATATAGCATTTAATGTACAAGCCTCCTGTCTTTATAAACAGGTTGTTCTGGTGACTGATGGCTGTCTTGGCATTGGCAGAGGGTCACTGCGACATTCCCTAGCTACTCAGAATCAAAGGAGCGAGAGCAACAGATTCCCACTCCCCTTCCCTTTCCCGTCTAAGTTGTATGTCATGTGCATGGCCAACCTAGAGGAGGTAAGACTTTTCCTCAGCTCTTGTTAGTTTGATTAAATTTTAGACTAACTCTCTTTGTTGGTACATTTGATTGCCAATGCTGCATTATATGCACCGTAACATTGTCTCCACTGGTTTCACCCGAGGCCGGTCATAATTTAAAAGACTGCATCTCAAATGCTCATTGACATTCAGAGGTACCCAGCTTGGGAACATAGTTGTGGTTGTCTTTCTTCTTACTGGTGGGTTGTGGAAGAGCCAGGTGGTTTTTTGTTTTGTTTTGTTTTGTTTGAGGGGTGTTAATTATGTCTCTTATCCAGGAATTCTTATATCCATCCCAGAAGAAATATTGAAAGAGTTTAATGTGCTTTAATTTTAGGGGGTAAAATAATGTTATTGTCAGACATGTTTTATTAAATGCTAGACTTCCTAGTTTTGCCATTTGAGAAAAGTATTTAAGTTCAGTTTTTTTCTATTGTAAAATATAGGTGAAAGGCAAATGGATCTCTGAGTTTGAAGCTAGCCCAGTATTCATAGCAGGTTCTAGGCTAGCCAGGGCTACATAGTGAACCCCTGTCTCAAAAGCAGAGAAAGGAAAACTGTAGATGATGATTTTACCAAAGCATGTTAGAAACACCTTCCTGAGGAGAGGCTAGCCAGGCTTCCTGGGATGTCTGATTCTGTCTGAAGTGGTGCTACTCGTATCATGTCTTTATTACTTTACTCTTTTGTAGCTTTGAGTCAAATCATAGTTATTTCTTTGTTATTTCTGTTAAAATCATCTCAGTCATTTCCTGCAGGTGTCATGATGGTGTTAGCTTGGTGTACTGAGTAATTGGTACTTTGTGCCACACTAAAGAGGTCATTGCTTTGGCTTTGCAGCTTCAGAGCACTGACTCCTTGGAGTGCCTTGAACGACTTATAGACTTAAACAATGGTGAGGGGCAAATTTTTACTATTGACGGCCCCCTGTGTTTGAAGAATGTACAGTCTATGTTTGGGTGAGTATACGTGTAAAGCTTTTTCACCTTTATATTTAATCCAGATCATAAAGTGATAGCCAGGAAGGATATCTGTTTTATTATTGCTGATTGTGTGATTTAGTTTTTCTCAGATAAAGTTATCGGAAGTAGTAGTTTAAAAGCTTACTCTGTTTTCAGTTAGGTGTGACTACATCTGTAATGCCTGCAGAACTGACTTACAGTTGGCTCAGCAGTTTCAAAGGTTAAAGTATATGGGTCTGAAGGTTAAATTATATGAACTGAAATCTCACCACAATGTCGGCTTGTATCCTCTGTCACAAATACTCGAGTTTAGTCTAAGAATCAATGGGAGAAAATAACAGAATTTGAATCTTTAAGGATTTCTTGTATATGTGTCATATCACTGTTCCTCTAACATATTCTAGAAAGCTGATAGATCTGGCGTACACGCCTTTCCACGCTGTTCTCAAGTGTGGCCACCTAACGGCTGATGTACAAGTCTTCCCCAGGCCAGAACCTTTTGTTATAGATGAAGAAATTGATCCTATCCCTAAAGTCATTAACACAGGTAACTTTTTTGAAATTTCCTTCTATTATCTTTTTATTACCCTTCTATTATCTTCCTATTATCCCTCTATTTCCTGTTATCTTTATCTTACCTAAGAGGTGGCAGGTTATTGTCTTTCATAGTGAGATCTTGAGTTAATCTCCAATCTCTGGTCACTGTAACTACGTATTACTGGGTTAGAAATAATGGCCAGGTTGACTTCAAATGATAAGGTGTATCTTCAATCTAGTGTTCTCCAGCTGAGCTGTTTTAGTCACTTGAGATGATTCTTTTTTTGGTTTTTGGTTTGTTTGTTTGTTTTAGCGGGGGGGGGGGGGGGGGCTTGAGACAGTGCTTCTCTGTAGCTTGGAGCCTGTCCTGGAACTAGCTCTTGTAAATTAAGTTGGCCTCGAACTCACAGAGATCCACCTGCCTCTGCCTCCCGAGTGCTGGGATTAAAGGTGTGTGCCACCACTACCCAGCTGAGATGATTCTTAGTAAAGATACTGAGATTAATTAGCATCATAACTAAGGTGCTATTTGAAGAGTTTTCTTCTAGACTTGTCTCTGACTTTTGCTGTGACCTTGGAAGTTGCTTCTTCCAATCCTTATGACTCAGTGTAGGGAATGAAGCAGTCAGTCACTGAGCTCTTGGTTCTGATAGATTGAACCATTCCAGCTCTGCTTCTTGTGTTACAACTAAAACGAAATGCTTTTGTGTCCTACTGCTCTGATATAGTACATATTTGCTGACGCCATGCCTAGCTGCATTTAACAACCTTGAATTGTGAAAAATGGCAGGCGGGAAAGAGAATTGTCTCCCGTTAGTCAAAGGACTCCTTGGGTGATGAGTGCATGCCAAAGCTCTTAGGGATGATATCACCACTGTCTTATTAATAACTGGTCTATAATCTGACGCTTACTAGATGCTTAACAGATAATTGCCCAGTCAATAAATGATTAAAAATAAGTGTGTAATAAATAAATGTTTTTTGTTTTAGAATGAAAGCCTGTGAGCAGACTTTTTGCTTTGGCTTTTGGCTGTCTAATTGTAACAGTATATTAAACCGCACCTAATGTTTTGTTGCCTTCAAACCAATTAAATTATACTTCCTTCCTGCCCTTTATTTGAATATTTCTTTTTTTTCCCAATATAAACTTTTAGTCTTAAGATACTGTGTAATTCCTACCTAGATGAGTAAAGTGTTTGCTGTAGGCCCTGTCCTACTCAGTTGAAAGCTGTTAGCAGTAGATGTTTAGCTCAGGAGGTGCTGACAGCAGGTCTCCAGGGAAACACTTGGCATGGTTCTGGTATTTTAAATTGTTTTGCTAATATGGCTGTGCTGTTGATAGACTTAAAAGAAAAATTTAAGAACAACTTATAGAGGTTTCCTTCTATGAAGAATAGTGAGTCTATTTTCTTTACAATTTTTAGTGTTTTCATAATTTTGTGTTAATTGCTTATATAACCAAACATTTTATTAAAAGTCCAATTGAGCCAGTGGTGGTGGTGCACGTCTTGAATCCCAGGTGGATCTCTGAGTTCAAGGCTAGCCTGGTCTACAGAGTGAGTTCCAGGGCAGCCAGGGCTACACAATGAAACCCTGTTTCAAAAAAACAAATCAAAACAAAAATTCTGTTTAACTTTAATTTTTTTTTATTTTAGTTTTGAGATGGTCTCACTAGAGAGTTCTGACTGGCCTGGAACTCACCATATAAATCAGGCCAGCCTTGAACTCACAGAGATCCACCAATCTCTGTCTTCTGGGTACTAGGGTTAAAGTTGTATACCACCACATCTACCCATGAACTTTTATTTATTTTAGCTCTTCAGGAAATAACTTGGGACTGTAGTATAGCTGCTATAAAGGGAATGAATCATTATCATATTGATTTTGTATAGAATGTATTTCTTTCTCAAGGAAATGTTCTTTTTGAGTGTGGCTGTGATATATACACATAAGTGTGCAGGCGCAGGTGTCCATGCAGGTGTATATAGAGGCCAGAGGAAGACATTGGGGTCTTCTCTATCATTCCCTGCCTTATCACCTTGACACAGGTCTCACTAAACTCTGCTGTCTGCCGGCAGTCTACCAGGCTCCTCTGTCTACCTCCCTCAATCCTGAGTTACAGGAACATCTTTTATGTCCTGGTTTTTTGGTTTTGTATTTATGGAAGTGCTGGGGATCCTAACTGAAATCTTTGTGCTCAAGCGCTCTTAACTGTGAGATCTGTCTCCCTCACCCCAAAGAAGTGTTCTTAAAGTGATGGCTTTACTTTCCAGGCTGAGTAAGAGTGTTGTAGGTGCTTAATTGTCCACCCCCTTCTCACTGCCCTTGATTATGCAGAGGAATTTGACCTTTAAACTTTTGCATTGGTTAACGCCCTAGACTCATAAAAATAAAGTTTACCTAGTTTTATTTTAAAACTTGAATTCATTAAATAAAATTCATTATTGTTTGATCTACTTAAATGGAAATTATTCATGATTCTGATTAAAGTTTAACAATTTTCCCAGGTCTCGTATTTGAAATCTTTGCTGACAATGTAGTTTCCTAGTGTGAATAATTGTGTGTTTGATCCTCCCTTACAGACTTGGAAATAGTGGGCTTTATTGACATAGCTGATATTTCCAGCCCCCCAGTTTTGTCCAGGCATTTGGTCTTGCCCATAGCACTTAACAAAGGTGAGTTCTTGTCTCATACCTTTTGTTCACACGAAACATCGTGTTCTCTAAAGTCAGTTCTTCAGTTTTAGATGGTAAGCTGGCCCACTGTATGGAAATTAAAGGAAAAGAAATAAATTGGATTTTAGAAATTGAGTATTGCCTCAGATCCCAGACTAGATAAGGTGCTGCCTTCCACTGTGGGAACTCCTGGTGTTACAGTGTGCAGTGGGTTGTGCACTCATGGAGAGGTGACAGCGCTAGGGTCCCCATCCACAGCTTTCCTAATAGGAACTGAGAGAGAAGGGGAAAGGACAGACCTGCTTTGCTCTACTGCTGCCAAGCATGTTGGAAACAAGATATAAAATGTTATTGAATGCTTGTGACCCCCATTGTGAGGCTTCATTGCAGATCATGCCTCTCTAATAACTATAAAGTCATGTCCCCAAATTCAGCATCCCTCTGAAATATGCTGAACTCTAGCTTTTTGAAATGCTCATTTTCTGTGTTCGACACTGACCATTTTTACCAGCTCTCTTCAAGAAGCATATGTAGTGAGTCATACTTCACCTACTGCGTCATATGTTCTGTGACTGCCTCATTGTCTCAGCCACATTCACAGCAAGAATCATTTGATGTTCTTTTGTTTGTTTTATGAGCTAAGGTCTCACTCTGTACCTTAGGCTGACCTCAAACTCAGAACACCGTGTCTGCCTGAGCCTCCTGAGTGCTGGCATACAGGCATGAGCCCCCATGCCCAGTTCACAAGCAGAATCTTAATACTCACCCATAGCAGCTTATTGGAACTGTTGTGTTTATGAACTTATGTTCTCAGAGAACGTCCAGATTGCCCTAGTGATCAGGTGTGCCTATATAATTACTAGACAGAAAATAAGCACAGTATTGGGAGCAGGGAACAAACAAGGACAAATAAGGGAAGGCAGAACAGGGCAGTATTTTTAGGAGCATTAAATACCAATCTCTACTGGAAGATTCCGCCTATTGCAGTGAAGGCCGAACAAGAGAGCAGACGGCTGTTCCTAGAGGAACGTTAACTGTAGGAAGACTCACCTACAGCAGCATGGGAGAGAACCTGGAGTCGGGAAGTTCAGGGAAGAAATTCATACAGGAACCATTGCGTACTTAACTTGTGTCTGTTGTGTAAGGACTGTCAGCATAAGCCACACTTAACACTTCTTTGTCGATTGTTTAGTTGATGCCGCAAGCCTCCTTCCTGATGGCATCTCACTGAATTCCCACAGGAATGGCACAAAACCGTTCTATACAGTCCCTGGACTGTCACTCACAAACCATAGGTGTCCTCCATTTAAAGTGTGTATAATCGGGGTGAAGAAATGAACTCAGTAGTAAAGCATGTGTCAATCACATCTAAAGCCCTAAATTTGATACTCAGCACCCAAAAAAAGAAAAGTTTGTTTGTTTTTTTTAAATGGGCTGGGAAGTAGTGTAGTTGTTAAAGAACTTGCCTTACAGACACAAAGACCTGAGTTCGGTCACCAATGTAAGCTGAGTGGGTACAAACTTGTAGACCAGCTATTCTGGGGTAGGTCAGTCTCAATAAACAAACAAATGTTTTGAAGAGAAAAATCCAGATAGGATGACAAAAGCTTGTAATCCCAAGGTTACGGAGGCAAGAGACAGGAGGAACTCTGAAACTCATTGGCCAGCCTTTGTAGCCTCGTTGGTGAGCTCCAAGCCAGTTAAAAACCTGCTCAGAGTGGATGAATTTCTGAAAATAACACTTGAGATTGTCCTCTGGCCTCCACACATATGTGCACTTATGCACATGCATCTGCATACATGGGCGTATACATGTGTATTTTTTTAAAAGAGAAAAATATAATTAAGTGGTATCTTGTTTGTTTTTCAAGACAGAGTTTCTCTATGTGACAACCCTGACTGTCCTTTTTAAATCAAGCTGGCTCCAAATTTACCGAGATTTGCCTGTCTGCCTCCCAAGTGCTGGGATTAGAGGTGTGCACCACCACACCCAGCCCACGTGGTGTCTTTTCAAAGTATATTTACAGCATTTGTATAGTCATCATCACCTTCCATTTCTGAACCTTCTCATCATCCACCAAGGAGAGCATATTAACCATGGGTCTTAATAGTCCTTTTCTCTGTAGGTTGCCTGTTCTGTATGTTTCATATACATAGGATTAATACATTATTTGAAAAGTCTTTATATGATTATTTACAAAAAAAACTGTGGTTTTCCAACTTGTTGTAATATTTCTTTACAGCTCCATGTATTTTTCCCTTCAAGGCAAGAAACAGTCAAGAGTTTAGTTTTATAGCTAACTCTTGCTCATCTGTCTTACAGAAGGTGATGAAGTGGGTACTGGCATCACTGATGACAATGAAGATGAAAATTCAGCCAATCAGATCGCTGGCAAAATACCCAACTTCTGTGTGTTGCTCCATGGTAGCCTGAAAGTGGAAGGAATGGTGGCGATTGTACAGCTAGGGTAGGAGGATTTCACTTGTATTTGGTTGACACAAAGGGAACGATAAGGTGAAATGTTTCACAGATGCTGATGAAAGAAATGGAAGATCTTGGTCACCTTTTTCTCTCCCTGCCCACTTCCCTTTCCCTGTCCTTTCCTACCTCCATTATTTTATGCTTCTTTATCATCCTCAAAAGTGTGAAACTACCTTTGTAATTACATTGACTTTATGGTCTATGCTTTCTCTGTGTTCCTCTTAAATTTTTTGTTCATATATTTACTGTATTTTTTGAGAGAGGATTTTGCTGTATGACCCAAGCTAGTCTCACACCCATGATCTACCTGCCTCAGTCTCCAATGTGCTGGGATGCAGCTATACCAATCATACTTGGCAAGTTTTCCTCTTTTTAAATCCTGTTTGGCTTGTCTGGGTTTTGGTTATAGGACCCTGTGACTTGCTTTAATACCTTAGCACTCAGGTTCCTCATCTATAAAATGGGAAAATAGACCTAAGTGGGGAGAAAGATGCTACTAACATTGAGCATTTGTCATGTCCAGACATTCTCCTGAGTATGTCATGTATGTTAGTTAACATCATCTCAGCACTGCACGGGGTGAGAACACTGGAGCTTAGAGAGACAGAGGAAATCACCCAAGGTCACAAAGTAGAAAACTGAAGAGCCAGAGTTCTTAACCTACATGCTTCATACAGAACTCATGTAACCACCTTGTTGACTTCCTGCCCTGTGAGGAAAGAACTAGGTTTCATCCCGCCTGCAGTCATGAAATCTGCATAGCCTTCTGCTGCCCTTCCTGTGTCACCTGGTGTTGGAAAAGAGGGGGTAGCCCTTTGGCCATGATTGACAGATACAGAAGATCAAAGGCTTAAGATTAACTCTGCTTAAGTGAAAATTCCAAAAAGAATAGTTATTTTCTTTCTTAGATTTATTTTTAAGTGTGTGTGTTTGTGTGTGTGTGTGTGTGTGTGTGTGTGTGTGTGTGTGTGTGTGTAGGCGAGTGCAGGTGCATGGAGGTCAGAAACTGGAACTGGAGTTACAGGGGGTCATGAGCTGCCAAATATGGGTGCTCAGAACCAAACCCTGGTCCTCTGCAAGTTCAACAAGTGCCCTTAATAGTTACCTGATCTATTTCTTGGCACCCAAACTACTGTTGGCTTATGATATGAGAATCACCTAAGGTCCTTTCGGAAGCTGGGGCCTAGAATATTTTCTGACTGTTGGAAGACCTTGCCTGTAGTGTCACTGCTGTGACTTCAGGAGGCCTCAGCTCTTACTCCTCTGTGCTTGGACTGCTGCTTCCTGTGCTTTGCAAGGCTTTTTTGTTTTTCTTTTAAACTGCTTTCACTGTACACACAATGTTGTCTAACTAATACGGGTTTCAGAGAATTGGAAATACTATGTGCATTTTGGGGGTTTAAGATTTGGCTTTGGGCTGGGCAGTGGTGGCACGCGACTTTAATCCCAGCACTTGGGAGGCAGAGGCAGGTGGATTTCTGTGAGTTCAAGGCCAGCCTGGGCTACAAGAACTAGTTCCAGGACAGGCTCCAAAGCCACAGAGAAACTCTGTCTCAAAAAAAAGAAAAAAAGAAGAAAAGAAAAAAAATCAACAACAACAAAAAGCAGAACCTAGACTTCTTAACCTGACAATCCTAGGTTTGATGGTCTGCTCTTCCATCTTCTCTCCATCTAGTCCTGAATGGCATGGGATGCTCTACTCGCAAGCTGATAGCAAGAAGAAGTCAAACCTCATGATGTCTCTCTTTGAGCCTGGCCCAGAACCTCTCCCATGGCTGGGGAAAATGGCACAGTTGGGTCCCATTTCAGGTATAAACCAGACCAGATTCTACTTACTTGACTTGGTTGTCTCTATGGTGTTCTGAATGTCTTTGGGTGTTGTTAGAGCATGCCTGACCTCTCTGATGCTGGGTGCCTACATAGAGGACCTCAGAGTGTTTGAGGCTTGCATCTAACTTTCTCAGCTCAAGGAAAACAAACGTTTATATTGACTAAGTATCTTTGTTTATATTTATATTGACTATTATATATATATTGGCAGTAGTGTTGTTGGCTGCTCTGAGTGGAAAACTCCGTGTTTTTCTTTTGTACAGTCAGTCATTCTTAGGCCACGGAGTCCTCTTCCTTCTGGAAATGCTTTTCTCTTGACTTGAGAGGTGTTGCTACCGATTTTTATCTGGCTTTCCTATTTCTTGTCTCCTTGTCTTCCTGTTGCCTCCATTTCCAAAATGTTCTTTGCTTTCTCCTGTTGTTTGTGCTCTTTCTGGGTTCTTTCTTCAGCTACAGTGGGTTCAGACTCCCAGATCTTCTCCTTGAGTCTCAGCTGGTGTCCCTCACGTCCATGTGTCGTGTTTCCAGTTTTCAGCTGCACTGTCAGCATCAAGCTCAGCAGAGACCACTGTCTCCTCCTCCTCACTGCTTACACTGTTCCTCCTTCTCACTTTGCTGTTCTTACCCTTGACCCTGTTGATTCCATTTCTAATTCAGAAACATCTATCCCTTCTGTGCCAGGTAGATAAAAGGTAGCTGGAGTTCAGAGAGCATGTCAGGTCAACCAGGACAGGGTGATTAGATCTGCTGTCTGTGACTCAGGAGATCTTCACAGGGCAGAAGCACACTGGCTGAGTTTTGAAGTTTGCTGAACTGATGAAGAAAGGGCTGTTGAATACCTGTTGGAAGGGAAGAAGCTATAGCACTCTGAGCTATATCGGGAGGGGCAGAAGGTAGGTTAGAGATTGGCTATGGTTAGAGCGAATTAGGCCTGCTCTGAAATGACTGTTCTGCAGATAATGGGCAGAACAGCTGAGCAGGATGATCAGCTCCTTCTGGTATTAGGACAGCACTCAGGATAGCAGTTAGGGGATATGTGCAGATGCTGGTGTCCCTAATACAGGTAAGAGATACAAATAAAATTTGCACTCCAGGGCTGGTGCTGGTAGAATACTTGTCTGGCAACGCATGAAGCTCTGGGTTCAATCCTCAGTACCTCCTATATCTGGGTGTGGCAAGAAGGCCACACCTCCTAAGCCTTCCCAAACAGTTCCACTAACTGGGAACCTAGCATTCAAATATATGAGCCTTTGGGGCCATTCTCACTGAAACCACTACAGTCTATGAATTGAAAGTGAATAGGAGAATAGCCTTGGGGTAAACATTTATTCATCATATTTGAGCCTAAGAAACACCCGTGGAAGTGCCTAGAGGCAATCCCTGCAGGAGTCAAGTAAGGAAAGCAGCAGTTACAGGCAGAACCCTTAATTACAGCAGATCACTCTGGGCCACAGGGTGAGAGTGAGTGGGATTACTTAAGGGGTAGCTCACAAATTTGAGGGTTTATTTTCTTTGTTTTTTGGGTTTTTTTTTTTTTTTTTTTTTTTAGATTTTTCGAAGCAGGGTTTCTCTGTAGTTTTTGGTGCCTGTCGTGGAACTAGCTCTTGTATACCAGGCTGGCCTCGAACTCACAGAGATCCGCCTGCCTCTGCCTCCCAAGTGCTGGGATTAAAGGCGTGCGCCACCACCGCCCAGCTAAGATTTATTTATTATGTATACAACATTCCTTCCATGTATGCCTGCACACCAGAAGAGGGCACCAGATCTCATTATAGATGGCCATGTGCCACCATGTGGTTGCTGGGAATTGAACTCAGGACCTCTGGAAGAGCAGTCAGTGCTCTTAACCACTAAGCCATCTCTCCAGCCCCTTTGAGTTTTTATGTATGAAAATAAACTTTAGAAATTCTATTTACATTCAGGCAGTAAGCACCAAACTGACTGTTGTTTTCCTGATTTTGTATTGGTATGGTTTTTCTCCTCTTCAGTGGGACTAAGAAACCTAGCATCTATTGAACTTGAGTTTGTCAAGCACTGTACTAGTGGTGTACAGGACTGTCCTCCCATCAAACTGCTTCTTCATAGGTTCAGCTGTGTCCACTTGTAAAAGATCATCCCAGCTGGGTTTGATGACTGGTAGGGGCAGGAAGGTCACAGAACTCTCATCTAGTACCTGCCCCCCATACACACACACACACACCATGTTTATGCAATTCTGCCCTAATTGCATGTGACCTCCTGGGACAGGCTAGAGTATATAAGCAGGAAAGGACTAAAGAAGGGGGAGCCATTAGTGCAGCTGTGAGAAAGCCGACATACATGCTGCTAAAGACACTGTCTGGCCTTTTGGGGCAGGGGAACACCTACATTCCTGTAAGTAACCTTTCCCCTATGCTCTGTAAGTAAGATCAGTAAACTTATTAGTTACCCAGGGTGAATTTAGGTGGAATTGTGCCTTGGTTTGTTATGTGGAGCTTCAGGACAGGAAGAGGCATTGTTTACAGCTCCCCAGAAAAAAAAGACTTTTAGCAACAGCAAGAAACTGCAGAATTGACCATTTTGTTTAATTTCAGATTGGGATTGGCATGGTTAGAAATGGCAGTAAGAACGCCTGTGCTGAGGGCTGCTGAGGCAGTGTCTGGGGTAGAAGACCAGACAAGCAGCGGAAGATAGGTTTTAGAGGATGCCTTCCATGCTGACGACAGCTGGAGTTCCTCTGCCTGTGGCCCTGGGGACTTAAGGCAAACCTTGTTCGTCTCCATGGATCAGGAAGAGTTGAAGCTGGTAGAGCTGGCCTGTAACCCTCAAGTCTCTTTCCCATAAAGCCCAATCATGCTTGGTTTCATCCTGTCCAAAGGTTCCCAGATGACATTTCTCATTCAAACCTCAACAGAAAATATGTATAAAGTGTGTGATACACAGTGGGCATATAATTGCAAGTGCTGTTTTTATTGTTTTTCAAAGCAGAACATACAAATACATTGCTTATATCAATCCTTCCTAGTTCTGCCCCAGAGACAGTCATTTGTTTCTTTTGGTATTTTTACCTACCTTCCTAAGCAACACAAGTACATAGCTAAGTTTTAATTTATTTTGCACTTTTCAATGGGGTAGGTATGTATGTTGCTGGGACATACATGACTTTTGAAGGATGTCTTTTTAGCTCTCTTCTGTTTGATGACTGGCTGAGGAAAGCGTGTGAGTGACATGTCTGTTTTGAAATCTTGCACATTTGGAAACATCTCATTTCTTTTACACTTGGTTGGCAGTTTGGCCTGCTGGTGCCTTTGTACCTCTGGTATTCTGAGTTTTCAGAGGAGAGCTGTAGCTATTGCTTTCTACATTCATCTGCCTGAACCCGTGCTGAGCACGTGAGTTCTCTGGCTTTCCTCCCTCTCTACTCTTCTTCTGGAGCAGTGTTGTATGTACCTCTTTCATTTTCTCATTTGTTTTGTTTTGTTGTGGTTTGTTTTGTTCTCTATCTTCAACTTTACCATGCACCTATGTGGTTTTGTTGTTGTTGTTGTTGTTGTTGTTTTTATTTCTATTATCATGTCTTCTCAGATTTTCTTGTTCTCTTTCATAAGTGCAGTATTTCCTGTTAATGCAAGTTTCTGCAAATGAAAGTACCATATATAAGTTCCAAACAAAGTTCAGAGGCTGTGGCTAGATGTTGGCATATTTGGTACTGACCTTGAATGCTATAGAATAACTGGATGCAAAGAAATCACTGTCAGAAAAACTTGAGCCAGTCACGGGTGAGTAGATTAGCATCTGGTCCTGGAATATAGACAGGTTAAATGGAGTAGGTAGGGAACAGCAGTATTGAATGATGGGAAACCAGTATACTGAATCACTATGAAACCTTGGGTATGCCCACCATTTTGAGCCTTACTTGTTTTTAATAGCTATTGCTATTGCTTTTCTGGGTGACTCTGTGGAGAGATACCTAATTGGAATTTAATAATAATTCTTTTGTTTTAAATAATTATTCTTTGTATTCCTTAAAGCCAAAAATAAATAAATATCTTCTCTAGGCACAATTCCTAGCACAGTATGTGTTATATACAGAGATCTTGCTGTAGGTGATGAATAAATGAATGAATGGGGGCAGGAGAACATTCTGTGCAAGGCGGGCAAAGATTATGAATGGGAACAAGGAAGTCGGAAATAAGGATGTTGTATGGGACAGGACTAGGGAGACCTTGGCCTGGCTTAAAGGGGTTTCTATATTGGTAAGTACTAATGGAAATACATCTAAAAAGTTGGAGCAGTGCTTTTAGTGGAGAAAGAGGGTTGTGTGCTGATAGAGGTACTCTGGTCCAGTATTAAGGTGTTGCTTAGTTGACTGGTCGGTTGTGAGGTTGAGTCCACTCAACCCAGACTGGTTTCAGTTCACAGCAGCCATTTTGTCTCCTGAGTGCTGTTGTTAGCAGGGGTTTGATTAATGACCAAATCAGGAATAAAGAATTTGGGCCTCACAGTGGGAGCAAAGGCTGTCTCTGGACTCTTTTGCCTGCGTTTAGGATCCTTTTCTCCTACTGGGTTCCTCATTTAATAATATGTGAGGAGGTGCCTAGTCTTACCGCAATGTGATATGCCATGTTGATTGGTATCCCCAGGAGGCCTGCCCTTTTATGAAGGGAAACAGGAGGAATGGATCCAGGAAGATGGGGGAGATGGGATTGGGAGAAGAGAAGGGGGGGAGGGGAAACTGGTTAGGATATAATATGTGAGAATTAAAAACAAACAAAATTTGTGGCTCACCTAGGCATGGCGACCCACACTTTTAATTCTAGCTCTGGGGCGGGGGTGGGGTGGGAGGAACAGAGGTGGAGACAGGCAGATATCTGAATTTGAGGCCAGCCTGGCCTATAGAGCAAATTCCAGGACAGCCAGGGCTACACAGAGAAACCTTGTGTGTGTTTTGGGGCGGGGGGGATTGGGCTCAGTGTGACAAATTGGTCTAATTCCAATTTTCAACATGAGTATTTGGGCAAAGGACTTCAGCTTCCAGAACTGGTAGGAAAGATCTCCTGCTCTGTCCAGCCCAAACCATGGTAACAAAAGGCAAAGGAAGCCTCTAGGTGTGTGTTCTGTAAATGTGTAGTGGTTTGTTGACTCAGGAAGCATTGATCTGCATACTACAAAACTGCAGTGGCTTTAAAGAATTTGACTGTCAGAATTTCTCTGTGTGTGTTAGTGTTTTGAAACAAGGTCTTACACTACAACTCCGGCTTTATCTGCCTCGACTATATATTGTGTCGCTCCATAGCCACTAACCACATAGACATCTAAATTTAAAATTAAGGAACATATGAAATTGAGGTCTAGGTCAAGTTCAGTGAGTGACTGGTGGCTGTGGTGTTAGCACAGGTTTACATGTTTCTCGAACCATGGGAAGTTTGAGTGAAGTGTTCTGGGCTAAACTCTACAACTCTGTGTGCTTATTTTGCCCCTTTGGCCTTTATGTATAAAGCTATTATGAAGCTGATTTCTTTAAGGACATTAAGCTGGTTTTCATTTAGCTAGGTCTCCTCTGATTGTTAGCTCTCCTATTCAGTGACCTGCCTATTGAGAACAGGTTCTCTAGCCTGTCTGGAGTTAATGCAATTTCTTGAATAATGATGGGTGGTTCAAAAAGCTAATTGCCTAATTGGAACTATAATTGTGTTCTCCAGGTGTCATTTTCAAAATTGTCTTTTTCTTTAAGATGCTAAAGAAAACCCTTATGGGGAGGACGACAACAAGAGTCCATTCCCCCTGCAGCCCAAAAACAAACGCAGTTATGCCCAGAATGTGACTGTCTGGATCAAACCCAGCGGCCTGCAGGTAATGACAGTGTTCACATTGCTTTCTGCTGGGGGCAGTGAAAGCATTTGATTTTTCTCTCCTTTGATGCTATGTGATTCATTTACTTCTAATGCCTGTCCTTATTTCCCAAAAGGATATGAGATGGCCTACAGTGAGACACATAAATAACAAAATCATTTCTTTAAAAGTTTAGAGCAATAACAAAAATTGTAATTGTATTTGAGAACTTTGGTTCTGGGCTTCCTGCTATCATGGTCAAAAACAACAAATGCCTTGTACAGTTTTTCCTGTCTATTAACAGGACGCATGGAACCATTTCCAGAGAAGTGTTCCCAGCATTGGATATTTATTTTGTATTTTTGAGGCAGTCTCATACAGTCCAGGCTGGCCTTGAATGCCTCATCCTCCTGCATCCACTTCCTAAGTGCTGGGATTACAGACAAACCCATCACACCTAGTTTCCCAGCACTGGATTTTTAGAAATATTTCTTGGGAATTTTGCACATCAGTACAGTGTATTTTGATCACATCCACCCCTTTACCTTCCAACTTCTCCCAGGTCCTCCCCAACATACCCTCTTCCTAAATTCATTTTTTTAATTTTTTAAAAAATAACCTAGCAAATCCAATTAGTGCTGCCCACGTCACACATGGGTGTAGAGCCATGCACAAAGCATGAGTAACCTACCAGGAGCCATGTCCCTTAGGAAAACTGAGTCTCCCTCACCAAATGATGATCAGTTGCTGTAGATCTTTGCTTAGGGGTGGGGACTCATGGGCCAACACTGGACTTGAGTTTAAAAGTCTTGACGTGCTAAGCTGTAGGGTAAGATGGGGTCTTACTCCACTGCAGCCTTAGCTGTCCTGAACTGGCTATGTAGACCAGGCTGGCCTCAAACTCATAAAGATCCCCCCCCCCCCCCGCCTCCTGAGTGCTGGGATTAAAGGCCTTCACTACCACACCTGGCCGTTATGTTTGTTTGTTTTTAATGAAGCAGAGTTAAGGTTTAATAATTTTGGTATAGGCCTGAGGGTTACAAGAATGGGGTGTGTGTAGAGGAAAGACAGGCCTAAGAGCATATTGTTAGTGTGGACTTCTCTAAAGAGTTACAAAATGTCAGACAGACCCAAGTGTGGGTAGAGCTTCTCAAGGGTAAGTTCCACACAGTGTTCAAAAAGGCCTACATCTTCTGGTTATTTCTTCTATCCCTACAGTAAAATCCAAGCCAGAGTGTGTGTGTTCAGTTTATAAACAGAAAAGGTTTGTTTGGGCGTCTCCAGAGCTTTGGCCCTGTGATATCATCATGGCAGAAACTGATAGAGGAGCAGACTTGCTTATCTTGTAGCCAAGAGGCAGAACAGACGAGAGAAAAGCCAGGGTTCCACTGTCCCCTTAATGGTGCTGCCCTCCTAGGGGCTCCAGCCACGTAACATTATAATTCGCAAATCAGTTCCGTAAGGAGTTAGAATTGTTACCTAAGCATGGCGCATTCAGTCAAGGCACTTGAGGACCATTCTCCTTCCACTGACACAGCCACTTGTTTCTATTTTAACAGCCACTTGGAAAACTCCCTTTTCCTTTGGGCACCTTAGCCGGGCAGTGGTGGCACACACCTTTAATCTCAGCACTTGGGAGGCAGAGGCAGGTGGATCTCTGTGAGTTCAAAGCCAGCCTGGTCCACAAGAGCTAGTTCCAAGATAGGCTCCAGAGCTACATAGAAAAACCTTGTCTTGAAAAAAGAAAAAAAAAAAAAAGGTTTCTCTAAGCTCAGTGCACTGAGAAGAGGCATTCCAGCTGACGAAGTGCTTCTGTTGACTGCATTGGCTCCTTGAGACCTTTTCCTAGAGGCTAAAGCAATCCTGCCTTGACTAAGGGGGCTGTAGCCTCGTCTCTGTTCCTTCCTTGTCTATCCCTGACCCCAGTACTTCCTGGCCAGGAGGCTCAGAGCTACTTTGACTGAATCACTATTTTAGCCCTGGATTCTTGTTTGTTTTCTTATTTTAGTAACGTACACATTAAATTTACCGTTTCATCCATGTAAAGATGTACAGGTTCAGCAGTGTATACTGCTAGGTGGTCATTGGCACCACCTAGTTCCAGACAGGAAACTCCTGTGCGCTTAACCATTGAACCATGTCTCCAGCCCCATTTTGAGCTGATCCTTTTTTGTAATGTCCTGTGAACTGAAGGTTCAACTTTTTTTTTTTTGCACTTATTCAGTTTTCAACAACAGTTATTCTTTCCCCATCAATGTTCTGTCCATAGATTTGTAGGTGCACTGGGTCTATTTCTATGAGACGATTAATTTAATATCATCAAGCCTTTTAAAGGAGGAAGGTGTTTTTGCTATTGTTGAGCAGAATACTAATATCACCTTAGAAGGACTCTTCATGTTGACAGTCTGTTCTTATAAGTTACTGGATTGGTTTTCTTTTTTTTTTTTAAGATTTATTTATTTATTGTATATATAGTATTCTGTCTACATGCATACCTACAGGCCAGAAGAAGGCACCAGATCTCATTACAGATGGTTGTGAGCCACCATGTGGTTGCTGGGAATTGAACTCAGGACCTTTAGACGAGCAGGCAGTGCGCTCTTAACCACTGAGCCATCTCTCCAGCCCCCCTTTTTTTTCTTTAAAGCCACAGAATTCTAACATTGAATTATTTTTATGCCTCATAGACAGATGTACAGAAGATCTTAAGAAATGCAAGGAAGCTCCCTGAAAAAACACAAACATTCTATAAGGTGAGACTGTCAAAACTGTAGTAGAAAAATCATGGTAGTTAGAGTGTGGGGGTAGAATTATGAGTGTGCACCATGTGATTACGGTGAGGTACTCCTGTAGCCTCAGGTGAGCAGCTCTCAGACATCACACCTACCTTGTCTAAGTATCACCTTACTGCCTTTAAACCTAGTTACTAACCATCTGGGGACATTGGACAAAATACAGTTTTAATCAAGTTCAATAGGAAAGCTTTCAGCCAGTCAGACCTCCCAACGCTGTGATTCATCCAGGCTCTTGTCCTCTGCACAGCTTCTGCAGTCTGTATGTCCTACTTGTGTCCAGTTCAATACACTTGGTATTGAGGTGATCATTCATCTTCCCTAATACAGTATAACCAGCACCATGTCTGAGAAACTGAAAGGGCCCCTGCGACTGGCTGCTTCGTGTCTTCAAGTAGATGAGGATGGGGTCTCCTTCCTAGGAAAACAAGGCCTGAGACCAGAGTGGCTCCTCAGCTTGCCCACAACTCGCCCTAGTGGCTAATGGGGTGCTTTGTGTTTTTCTGGTCTGTCCCCAAATGTGTTCACTGTCACTCACACTCCAAGTCTGTATTAGAGAGGCACCAGGCTACAAGGCCAAGACTTGGAGCAAGCCTTTCCCATGCCTCATTAGGGGACAGAAACTAGTTAGCGTGGATGCTGTGTGAAAGGCGCTTCCTGGGTTTGGCATAAGTGCACATTAATGGTGATCAGCTGGCTGACCAACTACTGCTGAGCACACTGCAGACACCACTTGCCAGTTACGCCTCACACTGCTGTCCCTGGTTCTTATTTAAAGAAATGCTTCCTAAGTTGAGGTCAAAAAGAACTGACTTTAAAGCAGAGTGCTTGGAAATTGTTTCAGGAGCTGAACAGGTTGCGAAAAGCTGCCTTAGCCTTTGGTTTCCTGGACCTGCTCAAAGGTGTGGCTGACATGCTGGAGAGGGAGTGCACCCTGCTGCCTGACACAGCCCACCCAGATGCCGCATTCCAGCTCACCCACGCTGCCCAGCAGCTCAAGCTGGCCAGCACCGGCACCTCTGAGTATGCTGCATATGACCACAACATCACACCCCTGCACACGGACTTCTCAGGGAGCAGCACTGAACGAATGTGATGCTAACCTCTGGAGCTTTCCTTCTCTGTTCATTTTGTCTGAAAATGAGCCCATTCAGCCCCAAATAGCCATCCAAGGACCTCGAGCTGTCTCAGAAGCAGCACTGCCAGTTTGAATGTCTCTACTGCAGTCTGAGAAAGGTCCGAAGGGTGGTTGTCTGGGGCTTTCACACTAGCTCTGTGGGGCTCAGTCCGAAACAGCTTTTGGTTCATGTTGAGCACAACTCCTGAGAAGCTTGGACACATGAGGACAGAGCTCCACTGCCACTCTCAGGAAGCCTGCCCAGCAAGGGCCTTCCCGCATCCAAAAAACAACTTTTTTTTTTTACAGGTTTACGTCTCAATTCTACTGTGCTTAGAATGAGCAATCCAGATGTCTAAAACTTGTCTAAGTACAAACCTGATGCCACCAAGTTTTAAAATTTTTCTTAGAACTTGTTAAGATACAGTGGCAGTGCTCAGGTGCTTCTGGTGTATCTGAGGTACAAATCTTTAGACAGTAACCACATGTGTGTAAAATCACTCCTGTTCATGTTTTTAAATGAAAATTAAATATTTGATTTTCTATAAAATGATTTCATTTAGAAACACATTGTTTTGCTCTGTCTTATCCCTTGAATATAATTCAGCTTCCAAAATGTCATATTCCTAAAGTCCTGACATTTCTTGGGTTCTATATTAACTTCCTAGCTTCTGACAATGATCAAGATTTGCACCTCAGCCAGGTCCTGGCCAGTGTGGTTCAGAGAACACTGATAGAAGTCGGGGTTCCAAAGGCTGTGTCACCGCTTATGGTTTAGTGTGAAGTACTAGGCAATGTTTGCCTAAGCAAAGACTTTACCCGTTTGAAACCGTTAGTCTAAATAATCTTTAAACACAAATTATTAGGATTTTGACTGTAAATGTTTTAATAGAAATACACAATCTTTCACTTTCTCAGACAGCAACAAAGGGGATGCTAACAGCAACTAGAACATGGGATTTTGCACAAGGATGCAGCACAGTTGGCTGCAAAGCTGACCTGCCTGGTCAGTCCCACCACCAGTGGAAGAAACGCCAGAAGCCACTACCAACAAGCACTGGCAGAAGCTGCAAACCTGGAAACTGCTCTTCAGTGAGATGAGGTTGTCAGACCAGCCAGCTTAATGCTAATCCAGCTTAATGCCTTGGGCTCACTGAGACAACACAGCTGAGAGTGGCAGACCTGGGTGCTGCCACCCCTAGCTCATTTCTAGTGTTACCTCATAACTAGTTTACATGGAATGTGGTAGTGAGACTGACAACATCTTGTACAATGGCCAACCCTAAGGTCTAGGTTTTATTCAGTTCCCCTTTTGGGGGGTTTCCTGCAGGAATCCTGGTGATTTCCCAGCTCAAGTTCCCACTGCGCACAGGTTTTAAAAAATAAAAACAAGACAGGAGTCTGAAGTTCAAAAAGGTAGTCTCACTGATCACTCAGAGAAATACACAAGAAAATGAGCTAGTCCAAAAAAGTTGTAGGCTGACTGTGTGCACAGCCCAGGACAGCTTGTAGGTGTGTCTGGCCTATTTTAGTATTTGCCACAGGCTCCCATTAGAACAGCTGTCTAGCACCCAAATCTCTGTTTCCTTCTGACCCCTGCAGCCATTCATTCACATTTGGAACTTATAATATCAGTGTTTTGCAAGTAATGCTCCCTCTTTCTCCAGTGTTGCAGACAGTTCTGATTTAACTAGGAATGAAAAATATCATGATGTTCCCAGGTTCTGATGGCTTTCTTTAAATCACTCTGCCTCTTCGATGCCCATGCTGCTAAGTACTGTAGTAATGAAAGTCTTTAAGCAAAAGACATCGAATACGAAAGTGTTCTCCAGCCCTACTCTGGCTCAAAAATGTTTAATCAATGACCAAATTTACCTGATTTTCAAAAAGTCAGTTTACCCCCTACACAAGTAACCCTTTGGGTATAATACATATTAGGTCCTGCTTGGGTCACTTCTGATCATTTTCAATGGGGAAATGTAGTCCTGTCCTAACTGTAAAGATAAGATAGTACCTGTAGGAAAGAGCAGACTGACATGAATGAAAAGGTGTAGGGCAGTCTAACTGTCATTAAATACAGAAGCACGAACCTGTTGTTAAGATACCAGAAATCCATGTCATGCAAGTACAATACTAAGATAAAATACAGTAAGTTCAGGAATGTTACTGGGGAAAGGAGATAGCCTTACTTAAAAAATAATAACTTTTACATCAGTACAAGAAAGTAAAATGGTAAGAATCATAGATTCAGCTCAAACCGGCACAAAGCTACCAAATTTCTCTTTAGTGGAGTTTTTTCTTTCTTTGTCCATACCGCCGCCTGCGCTGTTTATAAAGGTGACGAAAATTAATATATAACCCTGCAAAAAAAGAAAACACTGATTAGATGTCTTTGCGACTGGAAGTGGAGGTTCTGTGGTTTGTTTCCCGTACCTCACAGCACTAACTGTATTGATAGATACATCTTAAGGTCCCACCAGCGGTACTGCACTGCGCTGTCTCCTCATGCTCTGCTGTGCAGGTTTAGACAAGGATAAGTCCTGTATAGTGGACAACTTAGATTTTACTTTTTATCATACTTTATCTCCTATAATCTGATCATCTGACTGCCTTTCTCATTTTTTGAGGCATTTTAATATTGATACAATCAACAATACAGTTTATACCCTTACATAAATGATTAAGTTCAAAAATTTTTTGTTTGTTTTTCTCCTTATGCGTTTATTGAAATGCCCAAATGAAAACCTGCGAGGCTATTCAAGAACACATTTAGTAAGCAGCAGTCTAGACAAACAACACAGTAGTGAGGAAACAGGATTTCAGAGTCAAGTTCCAATTCTACTTGGCCAGTAAGTTCTGAAGCTTAGCCTCACTTCAGTTCCCTCATTTGTACAACAGGGGTAAAAACACTCCACAGACTTACTGTGAGAAAATGGTGTATAGAAAATTCCTTGACCTACGAATATGCACTACCTGGTTAAGACCTGAAGTTGGACTTTGGATTTTCTTCATTCTGAAGAAGGATGCACACCTTGCAAATTCAACAACAGTAACACAAAGGAAAGATAACAGAGTTGGTGCATATGAAAATAGTCCTATCCTTTCTTGGAGATGGCCTTACTCTATTGCCCAGACTAGCCTTAGTCTCCCTGCTGCTGTGGTTATAAATGTGAGCCGCCACACAGGACTCCAACGTCTTTACTAGATCCTGGGGAATCCCAAGGGAGTTAGGTCTCCCACACTAAGTGACAGAGGTACGGGTACTGTTCTTGCCATTCAGAGTGGCAGCCTAAGATGGTTATTATGACCCCTCTCCTCCAGTATTTCATACCTTGCCAATCTGGATAATGGCATGCATTTCTGCTATTAGGTTACAGAAGGTGCTATGGCTCTGGCTGTCCCTCTTCTCACTCAGTAAAGACATTCAGGAGCAGCCACATGGAGAGGGTAACTAATGATCCCGCATATGAGGTCTAATCTACACGAGTTACAGCCCCAGCAGGCCTCTGACTCAAAGTCTATGAGACCTGAAACCAAAAGCACCTCCTAGGCCACTCGCTGGCTCTCAGAAATTGATTTTAAAAAATACTTGCTTTTCAGCTGCTAATGGCTGAACCTGCTGTTACCAGCAAGGTAGACAGCTATGCTTACTTAAGTCCACTAAACCAAATGTAGCAGGTGTGGTAGTTTGAATGTAATTGGCCCCTACAATCTCATAGGGAGGAGCACTATTTGAAGGTGTGGCTTTGTTGGAGTGGGTATGACCTTGTTGGAGGAAGTGTGTCACTGTGGAGGTGGGCTTTGAGGTCTCTCTTGCTCAAGCTTCCCTCAGTGTAACTTTCAGCTGACTTCCTTTTGCCTACAAGGTATAGGCATCTCAGCTACTCCAGCACCACATCTGACTATACGCTGCCATGCTCCCCATCATGACTACAATGGACTGAACCTCTGAAACTATAAACAAGCCACCCCTATTAAAAGTTTTCTCTTTAACAGTTGTTATGGTCATGGTGTCTTCACAGCAATAGAAACCCTAACTAAGATAGCAGATAGAGCCAGGCGGTGGTGGCGCATGCCTTTAATCCCAGCACTTGGGAGGCAGAGGCAGGCGGATCTCTGTGAGTTCGAGTCCAACCTGGTCTACAAAGGGAGTTCCAGGACAGGCTCCAAAGCTACAGAGAAACCCTGTCTCGAAAAACCAAAAAGAAAAAGAAATAGATAGTAGATAGATAGATAGATAGATAGATGGACAAACAGACAGACAGAATCTAAACAGACATATAAAAGGAATCCTTTAAGTTACCTTTCAAATAAATAAGGTTTTTAAAATGTTTCTTTTTAAATATTTATTTATTTAATGTACATGAGTGTTCTATCTGCAGGTATGCCGTTATGCAGAAAAGGGCATTAGATCCCACTATAGATGGTTGTGAGACACCAGATAGTGCTGGAAATTGAACTCAGGCCCTCTGAGTTAAGACCAGTCAAGTGCTCTTAACTGCTGAGCCATCTCTCCAGCCCCCTAAGGTTTAGTTCTTGTTCCCATTAGTTCTTATATGAATTAATTTAGAATTTATGTTTTATACAAACCTAAATTACTAAGTAGGTAGTTGTGACCAGCAGGAAGCTTTCCAACAACCTAAGAGGCCATCACTACCTCCTTCCCTTGCCACAGCTGCATGTCCACCTCTTTCTCTTCTTCTTCCAGGAGACAGGGTTTCTCTGTGTAGCCCTGGCTGTCCTAGAAGTCACTCACAACCTCAAACTCAGAGAACCTCCTGCCTCTGCCTCCTGAGTGCTGGGACTAAAGGTGTGCGCTACTACTGCCCAGCTTATTATTCCACCTCCTAACCTGTGGATGAGGAATTAATGTGCCGCTCAAAGAAACGTGTTTGTTTTTGTTTTCGAAACAGGGTTTCTCTGTAGCTTTGGAGCCTGTCCTAGAACTTGCTCTGTAGACTAGGCTGGCCTTAAACTCACAAAGATCTGCCTGCCTCTGCCCCTGGAGTGCTGGGATTAGTGGCATGCGTGTGACTGCCCATCTTATATATCAATTTTTTTTTGAGACTGGGCTAAAATTCTTATGCTTAAGCAGCCCTGCCTCAGCCCTCAAACTAGTCAGAATAGAGGCAGCATAGCTGCTCCTACTGCTCTAGAAGGGTTCCTTAGTCACTCCTCGAGAGATAACCTGGGCTATTTCCCCAGTATCCATATCTTGGACAGACTCCTAGTGACCAAGAAAGTCACTAGGAGTCAGCTAAGTTCAGCTACTTAGACCAAAAGGAAAAGATCTCCATACGCAGCTTACTCCTACCCGGTCTGTTTTCAAGAAGAAAACCTTCCCCGCCACTCTTTCAGAAGTAGAACTGCAACAAGGATGCTGGAAACGGAACTGCTTGGCTATCCTATCTAACACATGGCAGGAATGTGCACGTATAGCTAGTACTTACCTAAGAATAACATTACAAGATAAACCTGAAGGAAGAGGGAAAATTGAACTTTCATCTTCACTGGATATGGCAAAGTAAAACTGAACCTTCCTGACTCATTGAATACTGGAATGGACTGGATCACTGCCACAGCTGGAAGGAAACAAACAGA